TCCAGCTTCTGACTGTCTGTGCTCATCCTGTAGCTCACGTAGGAGCCTCTTGTCCACCAATTCTGCTCGATATGCCTTGGCCTCATCATGTGCCCTTGCCAGTGCTTCGCTTTTGTCGATTCCTTCGTCCAGGAATTTTTTCACCGCAAACGTTCGAGTGGTCTTCTTCCCATCTGAGAAATAAGGCACTGCCCATCGCTGGGTTGGTGCGTGCCAATAAATGCACACGGCACTTTTTCTGGCTGGACGCGATGGCGGAGATGAAGCAGGATGGCCAGCCTTGCCATTCCTCGTGCTTCTTGCTGTGCAATGTTCGCGTTCTAGTGACTCTTCTTTGCATTGTGCGAGTTCTTTGAGCAACTCTTTTTGATCACTCTTTGCCGAGAAACTCTCCTGGGGCGGAGTGCTTAACCAAATGGTACCCTTGGTGAAATACCCACTCCAGGTAGTGAAACCCTATCGGAACCTGACTTCACAACTACAAGAAACGGTGAGCGAGGAACTCGCACAGTGTGCTTCTGGGCTTCGTGAAGCCTTCGAAGCCTTCTGCCAAGGAGCATTTTGGATCTTTCCATCGACCAAATTCTCGTCGGGGCGCTCTAGTGCCCTGGTCCTTTGCGAAGTGAACATCCTTAGGTCGAGACTCGTCGAGACTCGAGACTCCCTGCGTGACTTACTAGTAGCTTTGACAACGCACGTCCCGTTCTCCATGTCCACACCGTTGTGGGAAATCGCAAGGCAGAAAAGGCAAAGGCAAAGAATATTTTTTAAAAGGCAACATGCAATTTCGGAAATGAGGTTTGTAAAAGGGCTTCACAGTTTTCTTTCTTTTCTTGCAAGGTGTTCATTTTTGTCACTGAATGGTCTCCTTGGTTTTGGTCCAAACCGCAAGGCAACAAGGTTCGAGCACCATCAGTTGAAACACAGTGTTTCCGTCCAAACGAGCCACGGGCTTCGCTGGCTTCTCTGCACTTGGTGTTTGAAAAGCTCGGCTTCACAAAGCACATTGGCACAAAGCTTCTCCTGGTGAGCACGAATGGAGCAAGTCGACTCGCTCCGACTCGTCAGACTCCGCTCGTTCCCTGCGGAAGGCATCAAGCCGTATAGTTTGTTTGTCGCCGCCGAGTCAACGATCTTCAGCTTTGTTCGGCATCGGAACGGTGCACTCCAACGCGGCCCATTCGAAGCTTCCTGAATAGGTCTCCAGTCTCTAGAATACAATATAATCATTGGTGCAATTTGCAATGACCGTTTAGAATGTAACAGTCACACACCCCTTGGAATCAAAGGCATTGGGCTCAGTTGCTCAGTTTACTTGTATGTTCACGCTGCACACGTAATCTTCCACCTCTATATGTGGGGGTTTCTCTTGACAAGTCACGGTCTAGGTCTGTTTGTCAACAAATGAGCCTGAAGAGGCTGCGGCTACGAGCACAGTACTTCCAGAAGCCCTATTCTGAAACATGCCGAGTGAATGAAATGATCGAACGCTCATCAGCTGTCTGCAGGTGCACACACACACCATACAGAACTTTCATGTCTAAATGGCCCGAAGTAGTGCAGCGCTACACTGGCCTCGTCAGTGGAGCTTGCTGACTCCTTGACAATGCCAACAGACATTGATTGAATCACAAGGAACAATGATGAACCATGTTTTAATTGCGTTTTTGATTGTTTTCTTTTCGTGCTTTGTGCATGTTCATGATTAGATAAACGGCTCTGTTCAGCTAGAGCCAAGCGGTCTCCACGAGTGCTCCTCTGCACCCTTCTCACTCTGATAACGGAGGTTGAAGCGCAACGGCCTCGCTTGAAGGGGGAAGGACACGTAGTTGTAGTATATCACGTATGTAAGACGTAGTATATGATGTATATGAGGGTCTGCCAAAACATCTCGTGATTGCGAGTGGGGCGCCTATCGCTCCTCAACCCCAGCCACACTTTCAACACATTTTGAAGATATCGAAAAACTGCAGCGACATGATTATCGCTTTTGAGGGGGCCTATCACTTTTGCAGGTTTTAGCAATATTCCTGAAATTCATGACCGCTTTTCCTGGTAGCTGTTGATTACATGTACAAGTGGGGAATGGTTGAGAAATGTGGCGATAGTATTCACCGTGCATCAAGACTTGGCACCCGACAGTTGGAAATCTAGCTGGATCGTTCCGCACCTTGGTGAACGCTCCTAGAGCGATTCCTTTGCTGCCCAAGCCGGATGGATTCCTCATTGAACTGTACATAAATTTGTACGGTACGGTGTGTCAATGCCAAGAAGTTTCAATTAAAAACTAGGTCTTTCAAGTCCTGTGCTGAGGGTCGTACTGGTGACCACGGCCCAAAGCATCTTGCAGCTGGATGTCAATCTTCGGCCCATAGAAGGCACCTCAAAAAGGGCATAGAAAATCGAACCAAAACGTGTGAGAGCGCGTAAGAGAAGCTGACAACGTGCGAGCTCCAAGAGAAGGCCACGCATTCGGACAGCTGAGGCATGCCGAGGCCAAGGCCGTCTCCTTTCTTAAGGCTCCATGGCTTGCCTGTCTCTTCCAGTGCCTGCGTTACAGCAAGCACTTGGCTTGGGCCTATGCTTCGGGTGCAGCTCCGCTATGCTCCGCTTGTTGCACTTGGCCAAGGCCTGTTGCAGTTGCTCCTCCGCTCGCTGCCAGAGCCTCGGATTACTCTTTACAGTTTTGCAGTTGCTCCGGTCATCTGCATTGAGTTTACATCTCATTGACACTTTGGGAGTTTTCCTTCCCCGTCAGTTGAATAACACAAAGCTCCAAGCAACTCAGGCCTGCAAAGCTCCCTGTGCAATCTCTCCCAAAAAGAACCCTTAAACTTGTCTCCCTGAATATGCATGCGCTTCAAATGGTTTCAGGGCGCACCTTGATGTTGTGTCACACATGGCATCACTGTGTCGCTCTTTTTAGCCCCACTCCGCCAAGCCCACCAACTTCTGTCCCAACACCTCAGTGTGAGAGAGAAAAGCTTCCCGATGGACTAGTGAGACAAGTCGCCGAAGAAGGGAAAAGGGAGAGTATCTCAACATGTGGGGACTTGAGGCCGAGGGTTGGTGACGAAAGCTAGCAGGGCGGGGATGAAGCGGTGACAGTCGGCCCACTATGCCAGCGGAAATGAACTCTGAGTCAGTATCTCTGAACTTGTCACTCATGAAAGCTAAACCGAAGGACCGGTAAGCTGTTTGGCTGACGTTTCATCGTTCGTTGAACACGGGGCGCGGTTGGTTGTGGGCTGACTTTTCTTGATTTTTCGTTTGTGAAATTGCCTTTCCAATTTCCATTTTGCGAATTCAGAATGAAACACTATGAGCCGTGACTCCGCCACTGAACACCTTCGCTATTTCTAACTGAGGTGCTGTAAGCTCCGCAGGCCTGACATGCTATCGTACTCTCTCAAAACGGGAAAATGATATATTACATGCGGGTGATAGCGGGTGATATTGCCAGCACTGCCAAAGAGCGACAGGCAATCTGAAAAGAGCAAGCTCTGCTAGTATGTTAGCATAAACCCTAAACCCGGATAAACCCGGCCTACAGGGCCTACTCTAAAACAAGCTTGTCAAAACACTTCAGTTTTACGATGCTTTTCACTTGCCTGCCATGGTCTTCATCAGGTGGCAAATGAGGCAATTCATGCCTGGGATGCAAGTGCTACAGCGATACAGCACTTGTACAAAGGAGTTCAACAGGTTTACCATAGAACAATTCAACGCAATTCAGGGAACGTTTCAAACAAGAGTGGGCAAGGAATCTCAGCTCACCACTCTTTGGGATCTTCGTCCAGCAACGGTCTTCTCTCCTTCCACCTTTGTACGCGATCTGCGCGACTTTGACGTTTCACTTGTCCCTTGTCGTAGGCCAACGTGCCTTGGCACGTGGCACGTGGCATTGAACGCTACATTTGACTCAAGCAAGGGCAATTCGACATCTGCGTTCAACACTTCAACGCTCTTTCTCTACGAGTGAATCCAAGCGGATGAAAACGGCGGGCCGCTCAGCTGGCATGACAAACACAATTGCCCTTCCGGTAGCCCAGGTAGAGATGACAAATGTGCACCTGGCAAACAAAGACCAGAAAACAACCAAACCATCAAACAACACCAACACAAAAACAATCAAAGAAAAAACCAGATGTAACCAACATCAACCAACATAGTTTGACAAACAAAAGAAACATATGGAAAACGGTGCCAAAAGATTTTTTCAGGGCAAACTCTACTGCACCAGTTGTCTCCAAACGCCACGCGTCAAACGTTCACTTGGGCGACTCACGAAGCTGTTTAGACTGATGGAAGTTCTGGAGGTGGTCAAAACACTGTGCCACCTGGGTGTAAATGGAAAGTGAAACATGTGGTGAAACATATGAATGATATGTTGCATTCTCTGAAACAAGTTGGACCCAAAATGAGCCAAGCAACCAAAATGCTGGAATAAAGAGGACATCGCCCGGGTTCAGTTCGACAACTTCCCAAGACTTGACCCGGTGAAAGAGCGGATGACGCTCGTAATCGGGATTGAAGGCATCGACATCACAACACAATGTGCCACTATCCTTGCACCAAGTGCACACGTGCACACCGACCAGTGAATCAATATTCTACATCCGAGTGCTATTGCAAACACATGCAACATCTTGCAAACATCAACTCTGTGTGACCGTCCACCGTGGGATTTCAGGGCATAAAACTTTGTGATGTTACAAGGTGTGGTGCTTCAAACGCCATTCGTGCTGTGGTGCGCCACGAGAGACTCTGCCGCAATCGACGCAGGGCAGGCGTGATCCAGCTTGTGGTAGTCTTCTTGTCGTATCTTCGCATACAATCCCTCGAATTAATTCCGCTCAAATCTCCTCCTACCTTCTCAGCTTTGCCTGTTCTGGTCTCCTCTCGTCATCTCCTGTCTATCCTCCTCAAATCTCTTGATTCTTAGGCCTGCTCTGCTCTCTTGGTGCCCTTGCCTCTGGTCAGGGAAGTGTGCACTCAATTGTTTTTTTTTTTTTTGCTTTCCCGCAATTGACACCATGGACCATTAAATGTCAAACTGCAATGTAGCATCTGAAGCGTCTTTTGGCAAGCGCCCACCAAAACCCATAAACATGGTGTTGGCAGGAGTGTCAACAGTATCTTGCACCAATCATGTAACATCAGGAGTAGCTAATTATTCCTATCCCTTTGAATGGTTAATAGCAGGAAGAAAAAAAGCCAAACCATACAGGAGAAAAACAAACGAACACGGCTATTCTTGAGCCAGCATCATACTTGGCATTCACATAGAGGTTCTTAGCGCACTCGGGCGGAAAAAGGCAGACCCGCTTTGTACCGTGGCATTGGACTAAGAAATTGTCCTCATCATCGGTATGCAAACCAGTAAGGCAACCGCTTGAACCCATCCAAAAGTTCGTTTGCACTCTGGTCCCCCACCATCGAAGCCCCGAATCGAGACTCTCCAGTCGCTTGCTGTGCGCGAATCCTTCTGAAGGCATCGCAACATCTAGGTCCAGCTGTTTCAAATAGGGTGTGGCAGGGGCAGCAGCTGTGGCACCCTGTGGTTGGCCCTTCAGTTGACCCAAATGTTCATCAATTGAGTTCAGTAAGTCCACAAACTCATGCATTTGCATCTGAGACTTCACTGTTTGGCCAGTCTCCTCTACGCCATGGCTCACGTTCACAAGCAAATCCCTACAATCTGCGAAGGACGTAGGTGTCCAGGAACAGCATGGCCATAGTCGGGCAAACCCTGGAAGAACTTCTGGCCGCCGTTTGGCCAAATATCTCGAGCTTCCAGCATGAATGCAGTCGACAATCCAAACTGACAAGGACAAAAATCCCACACACACTGCGGGATAAAGCCAAAAGCTCTCTGCTCCCAAGTTCGAGAGAACCTCATCCAGCCACAGAAAAATCACCATGGCCATGTTTGTACGTGGCAGCTAGGTGCTACATGCGGTTGTGGCTATTGCCAAGCTTGATGGAGCATTGCTGCTATTCGATGTTGTGCATGCACAGAGTGGTTGACCAAGCCAGTCAAGTATTCTCGTATCTAGTGTCCTCAGCCAATACGTTCAAAGGTCTCCTGCGAGACATGTTCAATTCCTTGCTGACGGCAGATCCTCCTATATTGACCAGTTTGCTAGATTTATTATTGCCCATGCAGCGAAAAGAGTGAGGCTTGAACCTGAAGGCCAGTGCACTCAAGGGCCACTTATCAACGTGAAGCAGCGGGAAATAGGTCTGGTACAAAAATAACGATTCCAAGGATTGTTCCAAGGTGCCAGCATCAGCCATACTTAGAGCAAGCTCTGGATGAGCGGTAAAGCTTGATGCATCCACTGGAAGCATTGCCTAGCAAGATGGCATGTTTGCTTCAACAGTACCCCACGACTGGCACAAAGCCAAGCAGTCTGTATGCTGAGTACTGCTGATATCGAAAAACAAATGACTGAAATGCTCTCATTCCGTAGTGTGCGGAGCTCTCCGTTCCGACTCCAAGTCTCGAAACCTTCCCTTCCCTCGCCTATCCCTGTGGATTGCGTTGACATGCGTTGACTGCACTACACGGCCCAAAAAGAAGGACGCATATATATTATATAATCTTTATTTTTTCTTCCAGATATTCTTACCAAGCTTCGACGTACGCAGACACCCGTGGAACTTCTCCCACATTTCCTGCAGAAGGGCTCGCTGTAATGTGCATGAGGCCTACCTGTCACTCCACTGCATGACTCTGCATGTGTTGCCAAAGCTGCCCAGGCACGGCTTGGGCCATGTGGAAGCACGGAAAGCCAAACGACCAAGGATCCAGCTGTGCCCTGGGGCTGCAAAACCAAGAATAAAACCTTCGTCTTGACCTTTTGCCGTAGCTTGCTGTCTTGCTGTTGGGTTGCTGGCACATGAACAGCCTCCTCAATAAGTTCCAATGGGCATTCCCGGCCGCTCCGAGGGCCAAAGTGCGGAGACCAATCACGCAGGCGATGCTGGAAGCCTTGACTTAGCAGCCGTGCACAGTAAATACGGCTACAATAATATATAAATAAATAAACAAATATATATATATAGATATATATATATATTATGTCAAATTTAGCATTGTATAGCTAGCTATACAGTATGCCATCTATGACATGAGTTGGGACGATCATGGATAGTTAGGATGTGACGTACCCCAGTCGATGCACAAGCACGGACAGGCACCTGGCACCACGCGCAAAGCTCCCAGTTCTGGAGGAGTGTCCTGCCCAAGCATTGCTCAGGAGCTCAGCGATTCTGAAGCGCAGGCTGATGCTATTGCTTGTGGGCATGAATTATGGCCCCACCTCCAGGTACACAATGCCTTGGATGGCAAATGGGACAGGCCAATGCTCCTCTGCAGTCTCAATGTCCCAGTGCAGATTCTTGTGAACCTGAATTGGCTTCCAAAATCTAAAAACCGAAGCTACTAGTAACAAAGGGCATCGCTACGAGGAGCAAGGACGAGACGAACGTAGCTTCTGGCCTTACTACTAGCAAATAGCTACTAGTAGCATCCTCTTGTTCCTAGTAGTAAGGCCAGGAGCCCCTGAGCGTCCTTGCTCCTAGCAGCGATACCCTTTGCTACTAGTAGCGTCCTCTTGTTCCTAGTGCCAAGGCCACGAGCCCCTAGTAGCGTCCTTGCTCCCAGTAGCGATGCCCTTTGCTCTGTTCGTAGCGTCCTCGTGTTCCTAGTAAAAAGGCCAGGAGTCCCTAGTAGCGTCCTTGCTCCCAGTAGCAATGCCCTTTGCTCCGTTCGTTGCATCCTCTTGTTCCACAAGGTCGCGGATTTCACATTTCTCTCATCTCAACCGACCGACTGGATGCCTCCCCAGGATCTGACCATTCAGGGTACTTGGGATCTTCAGGTGCCTTGAAATGGGCTCCTCAGGTGAATCTCAAGTGACTCAAGGTGTGGTATTTCGCGCAACACAACGCACAAAAGATGCGCGACAATGCACTAAGACACAAGCAAAGGCTTCCAGTTTGGACCCTCGCTAAGCCATGCATCGATCAGTTGTTACCCACAAGGCTTCCGTGCCATACAGGTCCGCAAAGATTGCATGGACCAAGGGCTCCTGCGAAAAAAAAAAAACGGTGAAGATCCGTTCATTGCATCATGTACAGTTTGCATTGGATAAAGGACACCAAAACAAATAACACAAATCCCAGTTTGCACGTTTGACATCTGCATTGGGCTATATATCCACACCAAACAGAAATAAAGCGCCCATTGTGCACAACTGTTCGCAACTTGGGGTGTCACTATCTGCAAGGAACGACAAGGAAGACTACAAGGACTTGGCTTGTGCATGACAAAAAGGGTGAATGCCTCACACCGTTGAACAACTTTTGCAGAGCCCCGGCAAGTATCAATCGATAGTCTGGACCAAACGGATGGTCATCGAAGTGCTATCCTGGCGAATGGCCCACAGCGTCTTGTGGTGAGACATTTGCACCATTCCTGAGTCCAGTTGGAATTGGAAGCTGTCAAATCAGTTGATGTGCCTTCAGGTACTGCAGCTGACATTGATGCCTGCTGAAATGGAATGCGCTCAATAACGCTTACTCAAAGTCTTGCCGCATGTGGAAGATGTGGAAGGTTTTACAGTACACTTAAATTGTGCCGACGAACCACCACATGGGCCGTGGTGAGGCTTCTTGCCATCAGGCAGGACGTCACTGTAGATATCCAGCTTGTTTCTGTACCTAAACCACATGCAAATCATGGTCAAACATACACAACCCCCAAAACCAAGTACCCACACTGGTGAGATCAACACAGCAAATGCAAGCGCATACGAAGCCAAACGTAAGCAGCAACCAGCCAAGTTGCCATGTGTCCCGCTTGTCGCGATCAGCCTGAACGAAGGCATAAATGGCATCTGCCGTCTTAGAGCAAAGGTCTTTGGAGATGACATCCTGAGCTGTGATAGATGGGCATCTCGTGGGACACTGCTACAGAATGCTCATTACCACCTATATATTATAATATAATATCTGTCGACACTTCAAACACTGTATGTGCATGCTGCATGCTCATCATCTTCCTACCCTTCAGGCCCAAAAAACAATGGGAAAACTGAATCTGAAGCGAATGGTAGCATCAGGCACCACCAAGTAGCCGCTTCTCTCCCAGAAGCTGTACCTCACAAGCAGAAACAGCATCGTTTCGCTTCAGGGATAACCATGGATGACAACCAACCCACTGCGACTGCCCAAACAGCATCAAAGTTGGGTTTGACAAATACAGCATTAGGATATCCCAGGGTTGTGTTCAGACTCCCTATGCATCCCTATGCACCATTGTGCTTCTTCCCTCATCCAGAAAGAAAATCTGGTCAACCCATTCGAGGAATTTGAAGGTTCCGACTCGCCAGGTTGTGGATTCCACTTTCGCAACATCCTTCTCCTTTCCACAGCTGTGTTGAACAGCGAACGTGCACACAACTGACAAAACTTTCCTGGTCACGCCTTGCTCCGCAATAGCTTACAAACTGAACAGCCATTGATGCCCACAACATGTCACAACACGGCAAGATGACACAGCGAGTGGTACGTCGTGCGTAGCCGCAAACACGTGTGAAGCCACGGAGCTGTTGCTCGCTCAAGGCTCTCAATGGCCAGCTGCGCTTGGGAAATACCACGGCTTGGTGCATGGCATTCGCTTCAACTCTTGTGCTATGCTCATAAGTTTTCTGATTCTTGATTGCGCAGGTGCGAACCCCGATGCTCGCTTGGAACTCTCAATGCGGTGGGAACGGTGCAACAAGGGCCTCAACCTGGTTCCACATGTTGCCACATGTTGAGTTCTTCGACCTTGTTTCGTCCTCTAACTACTCTGCAGGCTGCAGGTTCTGAGCCAGGGCACATTCGGTCATGTTGCAATGATGATGCCATGTGCTAATAGCAGCAAAAAATATAGAAAAACACCCTAGCCTTTGATCCTTTGCTGTTGCGACCTGTTTGTGTGGCAAAGTGGTGTGAACTGCATCAACACAGGCCTTGAAAAGTGTGACCCTTGCCATGTTGCTCGTTGATGAACAATGGCACGCAAATTGTGCATTTTTGCGTTGGGCCAATCATCGAAGCTGCTTTGGAAGTTCCAACGTGTTGGAAGTAATAACTATTTGCTTTCGCTTGTGAGGCTGTGAGTGGTCTGGGACTGGATCCGTGACTCTGGGCCGTGGTCTTTAGCCAAGCCATGGTTATACAATCTAGGCTTCCTACTCTGTGGATGTCTTTCGATTTCATTGGCACGGCCGCATAGAGAAAGCATGAACAATTGGCAATAACACTAGGTTGGAGTATTCCTTGACAACAGCGAAATGTGGGACTATGACTATGAGCTGCTGCTACATGCTCTATCTCTCTCTTTTTTTTTTCTCTCTCTCTCTCTCTCTCGGGCTAAACACTTTAGTGGCTGGCAAAGGGAACGCTACACGAAGACCCTGATGGCCTCCAACCTAATAGCTTTCAGTATACACGCCGCATTGCATGTTGTTTGGACTGAGATCTGAACTCAACACTTCCCATGGCCTTCTTAGGTCTTGTGCTCAACCTTGCTCCACAGGCTGCTGTGATCAAAACATCAGGATCCATGGGCATGTGGAGGCTCGCACTCTCATACAACGAAAACAAATTGCACATATATCATATATAATATATCGTAATACTATAACTACCGTTGACACACACACACACACACACCTTCCACTTGTCCTGCGCTTCCAACTCCAAGGTCTCGGGCGCTAAAGAGAACTCGAAACCAAACAGCTCATAGATGTTGAACACAAAGGCTAAAGCCGCAGTGACCTGAAATGATCAAATTGAAGGGGCTTAGATCCTGCAGCCTGCCAAACATTAGATCCTGCTCCCTTGAAATTTGCACCTCGCTCTTGATCTGGTCTTCCCTGCAGAAGATGTGGGCGTCATCCTGCTGGAAGCGCCGCCTGAAGGATGGACGCGCCGCCCGTCCACCAATTGCAACGTTTCTTTTCACTGAGGACAGGGCACTCGAGTCAGTCCAGAGAGGGTTCCACTGAGCTCGTTTCGATGCAACACTCCAAAATCTGCCATCCTGCGTCGCGCGTGCAAACGCAAACTATATAAACATTCTGTCAATTTCTGACATCAATCTAAACAGGAAACTTGCTTACAGTCATTTGTCTCGTTCATATGCTCCCTCGTCCTGATGGGCAATTCTCTATATGAGCGAGGCCTGTGGACGGCTGTACTCCAGTGCACTTTTTGCCCTTCAGAAAACTTCTCCTTGTAAAACTGTTTTTGAACTTATCTAGGACCAGGAAACCTTACTGAATGCCATTCTTCTACCATTTGCGAGCAAGTGCAATTCCCGGATTCAACACCCAAAACTCCAGCTGAGTGGCTGTGTCCACCAGCTTGAATAGACTGCCGATGGAAGCATAAGGTTTCATGATGTTTCATGCCCGCGACAAAGTATGTTGGATTTGTTTCTCACAAGTGAGACACACATTACAGCACCAGGGGTCGAGACAACTCAGCATTTCCGCCTGGATACTTTTTCATGCTGAGCTTTTGGCTCATCAACTGTGCAAAGGTGTGAACCCTCAATAAACTTTGTACATGCTGCAGTATCTTTGTACATGCTGCAATTCGCAAGAGAACTTTACTGCCTTCGTAAGAGAACTTTACTGATCAAAGCGACTTGAGGAGCTGCACGCATCTCCAAAAGGTGGGTGGATAGAAAGCTGTGCAGAATCAAGGGGCCTTCTATGATTCGTCGCTGAATGACGTTGAAGAGTCCTGCAAATCCAAAGCTTCTTAGCATCTACATTCTTTCCGCTGTGAATTTTATACATTCAAAAATCCTGACTTGTTTGGCTAGCGGAGGACACCCATATTCAGGATGCACAACTTTTTGAGATCGTTTGTCCAGTCCTCATCGAAGAACTCATCATTGGAGCTTCCTAGAAAGCCATCTTCATTGCCCGCCCAAGGAGTGCGGCTCATTTCTTCGCCACCCCACGTGATAACGCTCCCGTCGGACTTGATTGCCATAAAGGCCTCAATCGACACAACCCATGCTCTGCAACAGGTCCCCCACGAAGTGAATACAACAGCCCAACATCAAATACAACAGCAGGTTGAGCTGACAAACTCAATCAGTTGATGCCAAAAAATATTGGACCACAACATACACTGAACCACCACTGCATACTTATATGATATGGCAAGTCTGCCCGACTCTGTCACTGTCACTCTCGCAGGATGCTAGTAATCTGTTCTTTATGGATCCTCGGTTGCGGGGACCGGCGAGAACATGTTTGTGCCTACGGGTGTAAAACCGAACGTGTGACTACTGCGATTTTTGAAGTTGATGCTACGTGAAAGGTGGGGGGGTTGGGGTGGGGTGGGATGAGAACATTGTCATCGATTTCACGACAAGTAATCTTCGGTTTCATAGCATTGTCATCGGTTTCATAACTTTGTCATCGACTAGTCGTGTGATTAAAATGGGGTGGGGGGGGTGGGGGGGTTGTGATGGAATGAGGATGTGGATGTCATGCTGAGAACATTGTCATCGATTTCACGACAAGTAATCTTCGGTTTCATAGCATTGTCATCGGTTTCATAACATTGTCATCGATTAGTCGTGTGATTCGCGGATGGCAGTGGCGTTGGGAAAACACCACGTGCACTAACTTGTGCAAAAAAAAACTGCGCAAGTCTACTTGAGACAGGACGCATGAAAGTTATTGAGGACAGCCGGGGCAAAAACGGCGACGGATTTTGCGCTGGCACTTGGGTTTCGGCAGATTCGGCTTTAAAAATGAAAGGATCCGGGACCCCCAAAAAACATCATCGAACAAGCAAAAGTACTGAGAGGGTTTGCACTTTTGAATCAAAATTTGCACGACTACACGTGCGATTCCACACCCGGCGGGATGTTTGTCTATATGCACGCAATTATAAAGCACCCACCAATGCAATGCACAAATGCATTCACATAGAGTAATTACATCGGTACACACAAATGCACATACAGCACACATCCTATTACATCCATTTACATCCCATCATTACTGAGTCTGTGGCACGGCTCGTGTCCAAATGGAACCAACTTAAACTCATCACTGCGACTGCGACAAATCAGCATGCACATTCGTCTCAGAAAATGAAGTGTTTGGGTCTCTTATATAGCTTCCTGCTTGCACTGAGTTGGTTGTTCAATATCCCGAGTACTGTCTAATGAACAGATCCTTTGCACATAACACCATGTGCCTCTTGCGCAAAAGGCCTGGGCCTTCATGTTCCAGGTTCCGTTTTGACTCTTGATCCATGTTTCGAGAGTCGGAAAAGTAATAAACATGGATAGATTTACAAGTAAATGGGTGAGGTAGAGGTTGATACATGTAGATGACGGCCTGAGCAGCTGCAAAAGAACTGGCACTAACATGGAAGTGGAAAACCTCCTGCTTAGTCTTTCAAGTTCAAGGGACCATTTTCCACCTCCATGTTAGTGAGTCAGAGTGTATAGCTTGATGATTAACTAATGCAAGCAACTGCAACGCAAGAAACCCTGAAAAATGCTGTTTTGAAGGGGAAAACCTGACTCACACAGACAAAAATACACAGATATATAAACCCCCACACACACACATGCGGTAAATAGGTGGCATCCAGGGTCCTACAGTCCTAGTGCTGCTGAAGGTCGTTCTCTGATGAGCTGATGTGCGAGATGTCCTTGGGGACTTTGGCATCAACTTTGTGGCGACTTTTGCCGTGATGACGGCAACACGGCGAACTCTGACATTCAACAAACAGTATGCCAGTGAAGGTGTCTTTGATCCATTAACCGTAGGTGCTCAATCTCTCAAATAGTTTCGCGTCCTGGAGGTGCTCCTGCACACTGCTACCTTGTGCAAAACGGAAAAAGCAAGTCGAGCAACACGTGACTGCTCAATTCTGGCCAACCACCAAGTCTGAAGTCATCCCAAACTCAATCAAGCAACATGTGAAGTCTTTGCCCAGGCGCTGTCTCCACCAAAATCCCTACGTCCCCAAGTAATGACAAAGCCGTCAGAGCTTAAAGCACAAAACGCCTGCGCTGATGCACACAGCTCCTTGGAGCGAAAGGCAGCGGCAGAACTGCGAAAAGGGGAGAACAACATGTCTTTAAAAACGAAAATGCGATGGCAAAAACGAAGGAAGCAAAGGACACAAATTAAACTCAAAAACGGGATACGATTGGCAGGAATTCGACTCGAAGCAAATCACACGCCGCCACTCCTGAATGTCTCGCAGCTCCACGTCTCCACAGCTGCCTCCAGCCTCCACGTCGCCCCATGCTACCACACCTGTGGCACTGTGAATGCGTAAGCATTGGGCAACAAAAAGTGACCAAAGTGTGACCAAAAGGACCCAAAAGTGCTTCGGCCTTTGTTCCCCTGTCATTCGGTGCATGCCAACCTTCCTTCCTTCCTTCCTTTCCTTCAGATAAGGTACTGCGCGCATATAAAGGAATTCAACTAAGAGTAATCACAGTGTTTCTCTCAAAACTATAAATGCCTCCATCAGCCAAAAGCGCTGCGAAGGCATAGTGTGCCGCTTGAATCTCAACCACATCGTACAGTTCTTCTGCCACAAGGCTGCTGTCACCACCACAGAATGGGTTGCCCCAAGCGATCCTGAGCAAAGGGACCGAGACGATCCGGCAAACAAGTGCGGGAAATGACAAATGAGCAGAAATAGTGAACTAATGTGACGTGAATTAGGTTTTTCTGGGTGGACTCTGGTTCTGAAAACCTTTCGTCGTGCTTCTAATTGCTCAAAAAACCAAGTGACACGCGTCCGGCTTTCGTCACAGCCGCAAAGGCATAGGCATTTGCAGTGATGCTCCGTAAGTCTGTCAGCGCCAGTGGGCCTGGTGTATGAATCAAGGAGGCAAACGATCAAAGCAAAATCCTTCAATATTTAGGGGGCGTGACTGAAACGATATATATATATATATATTCATTTATTTATTTATGTATTGGTATACATATATATATATGCCAACAAATTTGATAGGGCGTCACCATCTCCACAAAGAACATCTCTATTCCAAGGCCGTTTTCTTTTATATAAATATCTGGCTGGCTCCACACCGTACCCACCACTGTCAACTCTCCTCCGGCCAAGTTGCAGTTGCCACCATATTTTTCATCTCCCCAGGTAACAGCTCGACCTCAGTGCACAACAAAGGCAAATATAAATACCACGCGCCTTGAATGTTGCACACATGGCTTGAAACCAACTGCGAAAGAGTTTGCCTGGAACCCCGCCAACAACCACCGTTTGGCGCAACGGATGTGCCCAGCGGGCCAGGGGCTTTATTGATTCAAGCCACCGTCTGCCAGAAGTGCACAAAAGGCGGCATGAGATGCTTGGATATCGACCACATCATGACCGAGCTTCTGAACTCTGGGACAATTTGCTTCCATGTCTGCGTTGCCCCAAGTGATCACCTGCTACATTAAATGGGATCCGAAGGAAAAAAGGAGGGGCCGTCCCTCAAGCTGTTGGCAGCATGGGACTCACGCGAGTTGCTCAACTGGGATACGATTGGCAAGAAACTATGAGCACGATGCCGGCATAACTGTGCGCGGCTGATTTGTGCAACAACTTGCAAAACAAACGCAAGTCACAACGCACATGGAACAAGGCTTCGGCATCATTAACTCTGGTCGCACCTGGCCGTCTTCCCGTACAGCGGTCAATGCAAAGAAACCAGCACAAATCCTTGGTGTTTGCAAGGTGTTGTACAATGTTGTACCTGCTCTTTGCCTGCCTCTGTCTTGACCTCTTTTTCTTGACATCTCTTCATACACGCAGCACTAATCTCCGGCTTTATTGCTTTTTGACCCTGATCTCTTCAAGAAGCATTGGCATTTGATGGCATTTGTATGTACTTGCAAGACCCAAATATATATATATATATATCTTCCTTTGAATTTGTTTGGCAATCGAGCCAAACACATGAACCTTGGACCCTTTGCAAGGGAAGAGTTGATGGCAATCAGCAACGTCAAAAAGCATCACAGCGTAATACAAGTGGGAGCTCTGGCGACCTTGAAATACCACTACTCCTAATGTGGTTTTACATGTTCTGTGAACCTGAAGTTTGCATCATGTGAGCTTGTCCTTTAAGGCTGCCTCCTTTGAACGGGTGCAGCATTTTGCCGCAATTTCGGCTCCGGAAGTATTTCGACAAACTGTCGACTATCATCGACTATCGAACATCTTGTGGAAGCGCAGCCAAATGCATGCAGCCAAGTGTCCTCTGAACATGAGTCAGCTGGTTGGCCACAGCACTGGAGTCGCCGCCATAGTTGGCTTTGCCCCAAACAACGACACGCCCATCATCGCATTTTGCAGCGAAAGCACCATGTGTGGCATGGATCTCAGTAACCTTCGCCAACTGGCTTTGCACATTGCTGCTGTCACCTGACACAAGGTCTTGATGATCTGCGCCCCTTGTGGAACCATGGTAAGTTCTCTCAAGCTTGGTTTTTCGTTCTGAGAGGTTCTGATGTGATTGAGCAAAGGCCTCCGTAGTCAGGAGCGCCCCAAGTCACAACTTTGCCGTCGCGGCGCAAGGCAGCAAAGGCGTAGCCAGAGGCTCGTATGCTTGATACATCAACCAGCTGCTCCTTCACACATCACGCACTTCGTGCCCAGCCATGCTCAACATATTCCCAAAGCCTCGAACCTAGGCCCCTGCACTCAGCTAAGCAGGATTAAGAAGTCATATTAAGTCATGGATAGCCGGGCTTCAACTTTCATCAACTTTTGATCTTGTGCTTCCAGATGCCCAGCCAGTCTGTTGTGGAAAATCTTGAAGAACAGCGTTTGACGCAAGCTTTCTGACGGATTCACTCTTTGTCAAGTCATGATTGCAAGATGGGTCTCATGCATTCTCTTGGGTGCTGCGACTGGACCCTACTATATAAACATAAACCTCTTCAACATCACACGCTTTGACAAGTCATAATGCACAATGCAGCATATTGAAATTTTCTGTTGCATCCTGCTGCTTAGCTGGGCAGCTTCACGTAGTGTATCCCATAGGATTACGATCCTGTTTCGAGGTGTCGCAGCGCTCCTGTACCTCGCTGCTGTCCCCACCAGATTCCGCTTCGCCCCAAGCGACGGTGCTGCCATCTCCACGCAACGCAGCAAAGGCCGCATAGGTCGCAACAACCCGTTGGACGTCGTGCAGCTGGTCTTGGACACCTCAGGAACCGACGCCATATGAACAGGAAGAGCGGATCCAAAATGATCCAAGGTTCCTCAAAGAGTTTGGCACAATGGTTGAAGTTCATAGAAACAAAACTTTATAATACAAAATACAATATATTACATCATAACACCATAGGACACCCAATCAAGCAAAGCCAACCGAAAACAGTGATGCAAGGTTCAGTCGAAAGACCAATGATGTCACCACCGCAGGCAAAATTGCCCCATGCAGTGACTGAACCATCAGTGTGTCTCACAACGGTAGCCGATCTCCAGTTGCCTTGGGATGGACCCAGCAAGAATCACATCACAAACCTCGCACTTGCTTACAAGTGAGAGGGTCGGTGCCTTATAAGCTCCAGAAAGGATCAAAACCGGCACCAAAACACCTAGCAGAAAGTGGCGGTATTTCAGGTGCCTGTAAGCTTGACGCCTCCAAAATTGAAAGCTCGTTGCTGCTGTTTGAAGCAAATGACCTATGAGTCTGAGTTCAAGGAGCAAGAGCCGTTGGACACGATGGCTGCCTGTCGCAGGATTGCAGTCACGACATCACCGCTTTCAATCTTTGAGTCGCCAACGTAGCCTCAGTTGACAGCTTGTGGCAGCGCGTGACAAACGGCATCTGATTGGTGGACAAGTGGACAAGTGAAAAAATATGAAAAAGGTCTCTGCAAACTGCAAATGCAGCTACTCTCCTCTTTCAAGACCCTGCCATCTGCAGTGATCAGTTGGCTGATCCTGAGCTGGAACACGCTCATGGTGGACTTTAATCAATCTTGCTATTGGAATACTAGCTGGTGCTGTCATGCGCAGTCATTTTGAAGAATCGTGTTTTGATCAGATTCCAATGCCGCATTGCATTTCTGCTCTTGACCATGCACAAATCTTTGCTGTGATCAGGCCCAGCATCCGAGCGTTGAGGCGTTGTTGTGCAATTTCTCGCAGCTCTTGAATGGAGAGTCCCGGCTCGAGCTCAACCGAACAGCTTTTGCCACTCAGCAAAGCGAGGCTTATTGACATGGCTTGCGCCATCGCATTCTCATAGCAGCTTGTCTGCCTGAAGTTCTGGGTTAACAGGCAATCTATATTAGAAGTGGCAGCCAGCAATGTTGGCAGCCAGCAATGTTGGTTAAGTCCCGGAGCTGCCAACGGCTTCCACAATCATGTGTGGACATGTGTGGACTGTGTGGTGGTTGGGGTGGTCACATTGGTTGACGGCGCACAGTGTAGTCGAGTCTAGTAGTCTACTCTCTAGTGACCACGCTCAAGCCAGCTGACATCTTCCGGCCGTCGCATCCAGGGCTATGACCAACCAGCAGAAACAGTTCCAGCTCAAGGCAAGCAGAAACAGTTCCAACATCACAACTAAAGTCACTTCGGCATAAATCGTGTAGCAACATGGAGAAACAAAACAATCAAATTTCGTAAACGTCCAAAAAGGAGATTCATTTTTGAAGGCAGCCAAGGCAGCACTGTGCCAGCCGCCAAATATCCATCCCGCTGGAAAACTAAACGGAGCCTCACCATTCCCGGCCTGCTGTCGAAAAGCACGCAGTGCCTAGTGAGGAAGGGAGCAACGATAATGAAGCTGCCGCAAATGATCAAAAACAAATTGGATAGAAACAAAGATAACTAACCATTATCGTTATGAGAACTTCATCCTGGCCGACGTGATCGATCCCAAATTTAAGGATGCTGCCCTGGGCAGTTCATGGGCTTCAAGTACCTGGAAATGAATACTAGTAGTAATGCTAGGAGCTACTGGTAGCTTCTTGTTCTTAGTAGTAGTGGGAGCTACTAGTAGCGTCCTTGCTCCTAAGTGTCCAAGGAAGCGGCCACTCTTGACCCTCTACTTCAAAGCCGTACATGTCTTCACCTCGGTCAAAACATGTTGTGAAGACACGCTGCGAAGCAGTGCGCTAAGCACAAGGCGATAGTTCTGGTAGTGCCCAGAACCTGCTTGAGAATGAGATCAGGCGGCTCTTCCACAGTAAAAAGTGGCAAACAAGTCTGACGGCAGTGTAGCCTTTCGCAGATTGATGATTAGTAGTCACGCTACAAAATGCGGTGAACAGGTAAGTCTTGCAACATTTAACATATGCGCGCCAAGAATATATAATGGTCTTTTAGATGTGCCATTGGTTTATTCATACCATCATATACCATCTAAAAGTCTATTTAACTCTTCTAAGGCTTCTGGCGTTTGAAGAGTTCGGCTGAGAAAATGTTGGGTGTGATCACTTCTTCGAAACCACGAGCCCGATACCTTGGTCCCACCACTCTGGACTCGCTCTTGCTTTGGGCTCTGAGGCTGAAGCTCTGCACGCATCAGTTCCTGAAGTCTGTTGTAGATCCGTGCCCTAGGGAAAAAGTCAAGGAAACATCAATGAAGATATCACAAGAATTGAAGGCAAACTCTTGAAGTTTAAGGAGAGAACTTCGACTTGCGTTTGACGCTGCGTGCTCATCTGTGTCATTGCGTGAGGTCACTTTCTCTCACCGTCCAGGCGCTCGACCCATAGCTGGTCCAAAAGCAGGATCCTGGCCTTGTGCCCACAGAAAGTTCAAAGATCTTTAAATGAGCCTTGTTGAAGGGCCTTTCTCTTCATGTATCATAGAACCATATATCATCATATATCTTTTTCTTCTTTGTAGGGTTACCTGTAGGGTGCTGTGATTTTGACATCTCCAGGCTCTGAACGAGACCACAGCATCAAAGAAAAAAGAGCCTCGATGGTGCAAAAGTCCGAGGCGTTCCACAGCATATTGCTGCGCCCCCCGTGGATAGGAACAGGTGAATTCTGAGTGCCCAACCCTTGCTGCTTCCCTACCTCACGCAGATGCAAGCGTGCAAAATGGAGAGGATCCCCAATCTCAAATTTGCTCCGTCATGCTCTGCCTCGGTTGCACAAGCTGGGTGTCCCGGCCCGTCGGTGATCACGCTCCTTAGCCTCTTCTAGTCTCCTGAGGTGTGCCTGATGTACGCTGCATGGGTCCGCCTAATGTTCATGACTCAACATACTGACTATCGACTATATATAGGCCTTCGACACATCTAACAACGCTAGCATGTCTGATCGCAACACTTCCCAAAAGTAATGCAACAGCTGACTTTTCCTTAAACAATTGCTAAACACTGAATGATTCCCGAGCACCTGACAAACAAAATACTTTCAAAACTCAAGTCTCCGCAGTTGTTGGTTTTCCTGTCATTTCTGCCTTCAACAGCTTCTCTGATGGGAACGATACACCATAGATCCGCTGCCTTGGAACGCAAGGCATCGCAAGGCTGGAATCCAAGATGCACTTCGTCGGTCGGAACTCAAACATCAACGCCTTGCCGCCTTTGAGTCTGCAGAGCCCAGGATTGTTACTAATAGCTTCTTGTTACTACTAGTAAGGCACTTGTTACTAGAAGCGATGCACTTGTTACTAGTAGCGTGGCACTTGTTACTAATGGCTTCTTGTTATTGCAAACACAAGATTCAGATACACTTCGAGTCTGCAGAGCCCAGCAAGGAGTCATTGTCTGCAGATGCCAACCAATAAGCAGAAGAATTCTTCGTTACCTGGCGCACCGTCTCTCCCGCCCTGCAACGCTTGGATCATACACAAAAAACCGTTGCCCGGACCTTAACGCAAATGGCAACCTGCGATTCCATGATAACACACCAATAAAGTTAGATGCCCTGCAAAGGGTTGAACCTTCGGTGCTTTAGCCGCAGTAAGTCCCACTTGTGAACCAACCTCAGGACAAGCAAGTAAAGAAAACAATACTACCAAAGCCCTTTGCGTTTTTGCTTTCCCCTGCCAGCCTTAAAGGCCTTCACTCGATCAGTAGAAGGCAAGTGTGGCCTGAGCCCACGGAATCGTCAAGGACTGAAATTGCTCGGGCCTTCGCTGAAGCTCTTTACCACTGAGCTTGCCCTAGCTCGACCCTTTCACTGAACTGGAGGCTTGTGGGGAAAAGGTTGGGCAGGGCGCACAGTTTAGCTAAGCGCCAAATTCAGTTTTCTGCATGTAGGTCATGACTTGGTCGGGAAACTATCTCACCATTCCCATCAATACATGATCTTGATCGAGTCATGCGGCTAGCTAGCCCTAATCAACTCTTCGAGAAGAAAGTGTTTGCAGTAACCAGTAACCACGTATTCCGTCATCTTTCAAGTTATGCTTGCAATCATCGTATTCCGACTTGATAGCTGAATTGGCCCCTTTGGGCTATCCGAGAAAAGCACCCACGGCAAAGATCCACCAAATCGCCACATCGATACGCTGTTGTCATAGTACCTGGGGTCACCTTGCAGAAACTGTGGCGTTCAGAGACATGTGGAAATCCCACAAGCCATGGTTGCCACACACAAGAATGGACATCTGTGCATCAGGTGACATGGGTGTGTATTTTTTCAATGTTTCCGGGCAGGGATGTTTGACTATGGGTATGCTTCGGACGTATGCTTCGTGCAGATTTCAGAGGGTCAGAGTCAGAGGGTATGCTTTGGGGTATGCTTCGCTTAAGCTGCTTGGTCATGCTTTGTGCAAGCCAAGCGTTGTTCGCCTTTCTTTCAATCAGGTCGACTTTGAAAGGGTTGTTGGCAAAGAGCTCTAAGGCTTCTTCTCCTGAGGCGAAAGGAACAGGCTGTCCGCTTTAGGTGCCGCAACTTTACGAGCCGACAAACCATTTGCACAACTTCTACTGCCTTTCAGCACGGTTCATGCTTGCTACTAGTAGCCAATAGCTACTACTAGCCTCTTGCTACTAGTCGAAATGCCCTCCACCCTAGTAGCGATGGCCTCCACCTAGTAACGTCCTTGCTACTAGTAGCAAATAGCTACTACTAGCTTCTTGCTAATAGTAGGGATGGCCTTATTCCCAGTAGCGATGGCCTCCACCTAGTAGCGTCCTTGCGACTAGCAAATAGCTACTGCTTGTAAGCAGTGATCCCGTCTTTTATCATGACCTTTCAATTCCCAGACTCCTGGAAGATCTATTCAGAGCATGAGCTCATACCCCAAAGTAAACAAAAACGACTATTCACAAAAGAGCCAGTACAGCATGTGTCTCTGACACCCCGACTGGAAATGACCATGCGCTGAAAGGGCGCTTTGCCTCAAATGGAGCAAAATCTCAACAGGCTCAAGATACATGTGCATTCCAAAGATGAAGCAGGCACTCACTACTCTACATCAGGAACCGTGCTTTGGCGCAATTCTGCCACGGTTTTCTCAATCTCCTTCGGAGCAACATGTCCCGCCGGCTTTCAGGTGCAATGGATTGAAGCTTTGCACTGTGGATGCGTACCATATCCGACCAAACGGTGTCTTCGTAATAAAGAGCTCTCTCCTCAAAGTTAGAGTCAGAGAGACGCTGCTCACCTGGAGCGAAGAAACACACATCAAGGTGATAGACTGATAGACTACTCGGCAAACCACATGCATTTTTGAGGTCAACAGCCCGCCTAAGTACATGTCGTAGTAGAAGCCGCCTTCCACTGCTGGCCTCATACCAAGCTCCCGAAAGATGGAGTCAAAAATGGTCAAAACATGTCAACGCAACCCCAACAAACTTGCCGTGTCGTGAGAGATCGTTGACCATCCTAAACTTCTGGGCTGTGCTCGGCTGTGCTCAACCATAGGAAATTCTCAACCAGATTAAATCAGTCTATCCTGGCACAGTGTCATTCCATGTCATAATTATACCCAATTCATCCCAATTCTTTCAACCGTCTGTAGCTTGTGGCCCAATGGTCAAGTGTCCACCAAATGCATCTTCCAAAGCTGCTCCCAACACCTCAGCTTGCGGTCGTGGGGGGTTTATTCACACCATCACAGCCAGTTGAAAGGGAGCGAGCATATCCCGGTGTTTAGGGCATTTATGGCACCTCAGGATCTACAACCAGAAAATGCAAAAGTGTATAAAAGTGTGCTGTTGAATGCTGTTTAGGTGATTGGGACTCGAACCTCTCCTCTTCTACGAGTTCTTTTTGGTGCCCGACGTGGGATGAAGAGTGCCAAAAGGTGTCTTGGCCACGAGCATCATCAAACCTCGTCGAAAAAACAAACTGTATTGTCATGTTGTGCCTACATCCTTCGGCATTCCTGATCCGCCAAACCACATTTCCAAACAGGGCTCCGCTAGTTATAGTTGTAAGTCGCTGCTGCACCGTGTCTGCAGCCTCTCTAAGATTGCCGCTTAATGAGCTCGAGCTTGCAATTGCCTGATGGAACTCGCCCGCAGATTCCACAAGCTGAGTCAGTACATGTCAATACAGGTATGTGGCAAATGTCTGCTGGAACCTTGAGTGTATCCTGCTATGTTTCTTCCGGTGTCGCATGTCACCTACCCATGCAAGGAGATCAACCTTCAATTGTTGAAACACAATAAGAAAAACAGTTATACTGTATATCATTCCATGTCGACGCTCTCAGGCGCTCGCGAGGCTCGCAAGAACGAGACAAATGCGGTTTGCAAGGAACGAGAGGGAGCAGCTTTGCCTTCCAAGGGTCTGGTGAGGTCCCAGAGTTGCCCTTGTGCATCGGGCTCCTCGAAATATGAGCATGCTTGCTCCTAGTAGCGATGCCAGGAGCCCTGGTAGCTTCTTGTTCCTAGTAGTCAGGCCAGGAGCCCCTAGTAGCGTCCTTGCTCCTAGTTGCATTGCAAGATCCACATGCCCAAATCTCACATCTCGATGCAACTGTTCATACCCCACTTCCGCAAACACAGGCATCACGCGGCACCAAGTCGAAGACGTCGAATCTCCTCATCATCTTCTTCCCCATCCTCAGTCATGAAGCAACAGTCCTACATGCCGCATGCCTTGTAGAGCCGGGACAGTGGGATATTCTTTGATCGTTGCGTTTCATCAACAGCTGAGCCCTGCCGGCGGTAAACAACTGAGCAAAAACAGCAAGCAAGCGGATGTTTCTGTCTGAGCACGTCGCAGCCGCAACACAAGGAGCGCAGCTGCTGTCGCTAGGCCTTAGCTTCGAGGCAAAACCGACTTGAGACTTCTCGTTAAAACAGCAGCCGTGGTACACCACATGGGGAACCGAATGCCATTGAGCCAGTTGTCGGGACACCAAGTCACCAAGTCCGACAACAAGTGCTTTTTTCACGAATAACATCGTCTCCTCTTTCTAGAAAGGCGAGTGGTATGAGTGCCCAGCTCATCATACTCCACCAATGCCACCACTGCGTCAGCTGCCAAGCGTTTTGAGATGCCCTGGGAAGTGAGAATATGCCCTTTGTTGAATAGTGTGCCCAAAAATGTCCTACTTCACCCGCGAAAAATATACAGGCAGCATACCTACCCACTAAGTCTAATCAAGTGCTCTGAGTAGCTATTGACCGGGATTGTCAATTAATTCAGTTCCAGTCTGCCATGCTGTGGACTTAATGGGAAGTTCATGGAAGTTATGCTTTCAACTTTCAACTGCACAGCTTTCAACGAGACCTGTCTCTGAGTGGCGGCGCCTCTGCAATCTCCAGTGGAGTTGTGAAGAAGCTCGTTGCTTCCTGTGTTTGGTGACAATATGTGACAATGCAATCACTGTCACAAGGAAAAGGAACAGTCCCAATCATTATGTGACCTCTTGTGCTAGGACGCTACTAGTAGCTCCTGGCCTTACTACTAGTAACAAGAAGCTACTAGGAACAAAGTGCATCGCTAACCTGAGTCGCGTTCTTAACGACTCCCGGACGCGTTGCAAAGCTGTTTCATGCTGCCGTGAGCTCCCAACTCTCACGGATCCATCGGGCAATGTCACCTGCAGCAGCGTTCCAAATGGATTGACATTGGTGAGCGCATGGTGGGGGGTAATGGATATGTTATGATATGTTCAGTTCATCAATGTAAATGACGACTGGCTGGACTTTGGCCTGCAAGCTGAATTGCACGTAACTGTCAAATGCGTATGTATATATAATTATATATATTTATGTATCCGTTCACTCTTCGAAAGGTGGCAGTGCAACTGGAGGTCACGTCAAGTCCAAAAAGGAGAAAGGTGAGATCGAAGACACGCTGATGGGATCTGAAAGGATCTGCAGGGAAAAGCTTCGAGGGATCCAGATTTTGCCGCTTCAAACCACATCAAAAGCCCGCAAAGCCCGGGACAAGTGTATTTCACACGGCCCGTGACTTTGACACGTTGCCATCCACTACGACTGCTGTTCTACTGTACAAGCAGCCTGCTCCTAGTCTTGGAGCTGCTAGTGACTAGTGGTTTGACTTTTAATTTGCTTCCTACTCTCATTCCTAATCCGTTGACACTTGCAGAACCAGCACCACAGCCACGGAATTGCGTAGTTTACTTCACATCGAAGGCCACAAGTTATGATCCCAGGGACATCCTGCCCCACAGGGTCTGGTCATCTTCAAAAAACCTGAGCTCAACATGTGTCTGAAGCTTACAAAGCCTTGTGGTCAGGCCTGTCAAGCTTACGGTTTACAGCCTTGCAATTTGTCCCAGAACATCTGGTTGACAGGATTCTTGAGTTTGTCCATAGTATTGAACAGGTTCTGGGCTGCCTGTAGAAGCTCGTAAGTTCTGTCGGCCAAGACTAGTATCAACATTAACAATATGCTCCAAAACAGCGGATTTGCAGTCACGGAGCTTGCATTCGTGGAAACCTTCGAAGAAAATGCAATCCCCTCGCAATTCAATGCGTTGAACCTTCTGCTTCTTTGGCCTTGAACCTTCAAGCTGCTGGGTGACCAAACAACTTCCTGAACAAACAACAGTCAAACAACCGTTTACAGTATATAATTCATCTTCAAAAGGGCAACAACAGTCCTTCTGTCTCTCCAACATTGTTGGAAATGTAGCCGAAGGTGTCCCCCAAAATGCCTTTACCGAAAAGCTGACGGATTTCTGAAAGCTCCGCATCGCCAAAAGGATCTTGATAAAACTTGTAAATTGCCATCAGCAAGAATTTCACGGTGAAGCCTTCAGGCGGCGCTGTCAACCGAAGATTACCATGGATTTCACAATATCTGGTGAGTGGCAGCTCCAGCACGACAGCTTTTGGGGAGCAACCATCCAAGCAATCAGAGAGCTTGCAATCCCCATAATCGCATTCATCTTTCAACTGGTTGTTGCTAATGCAGCCGAAGCCATCTTCGGGAGAATTGCGCAGGATCCAACTCACTGACTGTATCAGAGAGCTCTCGAACTTCTTGGCTAGAGGGTGTTCCATGGCCTGCTTCAACCTCAGCTCTTCTTGATTCATGCGACGGTCCTCCAACTCTGCTGCCTTCTCCGGCTGGTTGCATCTGATGAGAAGTTGGCTGGGTCTTACCCCGTTCGCATCTGCAATGAATGGGTCGGCACCCAGAGACTTGAGAAGCATTGCCAAGTTGAACCGGTAATGCCCACTCAAAGCGCAATGCAAGGCTGTCCGGCCAATCCGATCTTTTTGGTTCAAGTCGGCGCGGTGCTCTGCCAAAACCCGGATTCCATCCTCACGGCCCCATTTGCCAACGTAAGCGTGCAAAGGTGGCTCGTGCCCTGCGCCGCCGACATCAGCACGAAGATGGAGCAAAGCCTGCAAAACTCCGCAGGGAAGGTTGAGACCTCGGCATGCAGTGACCAAAGGCGTTACCTGTTGATTTGAGCCCAAGCCGTCGATTTCAGCTTTGGCCTCCAGTAGCACATGCAAGATCCTTGGAGCAACAAGGTCAAATTATGTGCGACTCAACTGGAAAACACTGACACAAGAAATCTGATTCCAAATATTGCTTAGCCAGCGGTTTTTACATGTTTGAACTTCATTCAACTCAATGCGCCGTACTGTAGTCACAATAGCATTTGCCAAGCATCTTGAGTGTCTCATTCTCCTTTCGTTGACCGGCCCTTTCCATCAAACTATGCAGGGCATCAGGCCCAGGAATAGCACCGGCATTGAGCAGCTTCTGAACCACCCTGCAGCATTAAATCGGCAAGTGTGCCGCATGTTCTCAAGCAAACGGTAAATTATATATTGATGTGATTTGTTTGTGGCTTAATTACTGTGGGAGGGGGGAAGTAGAGTGATTCAAGTGCGCCCTTTTGATAGCAAGTAGCAAGAAGGATCCTGCATTGCAAGCTGCATCCAAATCGGTGTCATCGATTTTCTCACCCCGAAGCTTCATTGCATCCAGAAGAATGGCAACATCTTCCAGTACAGGTTGTCCTTCGCGCAGCCAAACAGGCACATTAAACAGTGAGCAGCCGAGTGCTTGGAGTATGAAGAGCCTTTGGTTAGGGCGCACAAAAGGGACAAAAAAACTGTAGGTATTCAAACGTGGTTCTGAAGGACAGCTTCAAGAGGGATGTACCTGTGTATGGTATTGTCTCTTTTGGAGAAATTTCCCCGCGGGTCACCAATTCCAGCGCAGTCTTGTACTTCTTCTCTTGAAGCAAGTCCATGAGGAGGCTCTTTTCGCCATTCTCTCTGTTCCAGAAGTATGGCAAATACCGGAGGTCAATGCTGGCAAGAAACCTGCACTCTTCAACTGCCATACTGTGCTTCTGGCGCGCTTAGCTTCGAAAGGCAGTGTCTTGAGCCGGAAACATAGCGATAACAAGTATCAACAAACAGCACTTTTCTTATAAAGACCAATTGTGAGGCGAACCTCCCGATATATGCCACGGCGTAATATCCCGATAATATTGAGGCACCACTACGGAACAAAAGCAAAGCACACTCCAAAGGTACAAAACAACTACAACTTCATGGCACTGGAAGGCTGGGAAGAGGAAACGCAGGGCCGAAAAAAAGGCAGCCGTGTTTTCCGTCCCGTAACCCTCCGAATCGGGTATTAGGGATACAGGATACACCTAACAAGTAATTGGAGACAAACACGAGGAGGCAACTCAGAATTATGGTGAGGGTCCACGCATAGCAAGCTCACCCTAAGCGAACGCTCACATCTTACATTAAACCATACTTGATTTGCTTCCTGGATTGGTGCCAAGGAGGCTACACATTGCATTTCTATTGCAATCCCACCCCTTTCAACGCACTGACCTTGATGGGCTGCTTTGGCTTCTTCTGCAGCTCCTCCTGTGCCTTCTGCCACAAACGATCCCAAACCTGGCAACTTTCAAACAGTTTAAGTCACTAGAGCAGCCTCAAACAAGCGGCACTTGCCTCTTAAAACATCGGCTAGCCAGATTCGGCTTCGGCCGCTAGCTGAATTGCTAACTGCCCACCTCCAAACGGCGCTTTAGGAAGTCTGGACGCGGCGTGGGGGCAAACTGGCCCGGAAAGCGTCCATTCACTAAGCCTGGCGGGTCGCCGTCGCGAAGGAATTGAACCGCGAATTTCGAGCTCAGAACAGCCAAGAAATGGACCTAAGCCTAAGCTATGCCCTAAAAGCCAAGCTAAGCCCTGGCTCCAGAAAACAGAACCGCCTAAAAGCGGCAGTTTTCCAGCTCAGCGCGTCTCACCGGCTAGGCTCTCGTCTCACCCGTCGATATGTTTCGGTTAAGGTGCTTCACCTCAAACAGGACGACGTCGCAAACAGGTCTTGGCCCTGTTCACTCTTCATCCCGCCTACGGTCTCCACCTCAACGGCTGTGGCAGTGCTGGTGGAGCGGCAGCAAACAGTGCCTGGGCAACGACCTTGCCACACGAAATGACAGTGTCTCGCCATGCGATGCTGTGAACCACACACTTGAAGCAGCACACACCAAAAATGCCAAAGCCCTCGAGAATCTTGCGTGGAGAGTGACGTTCGCACCCATTTTGTGCCCCTGCGCTCGGGCAAATTCCTGTCCAATGCATGCTCAAGATTTATCTACTACAGCTGGCGCGTGCCCTGTTTAAGCCTCAGAAGAACTAGGATACCATGCACTATCCGAAGCTAAAGCGGCAGCGCCGGCTGCAAGCTTTGCGCAGCTTTTCTCCAGCAATGTCTGAATTAGTCAAAAGGCAAATTCAGTGCTCTAGTGGCCCGTGTCAAACGGGGCTGAAATCATTCAAGGACAAACTCCCTTAAGACCCGGCCCTTTGAGGACACGTTCGTTGCTTGGAAGGAGCGCTTTGCTTCCCTCCTCAACGAAGCTGTAGGTCTCTCCAGGTCTCACTGCCCGAGAGACCACGGGAACTTGGAAACACCATGGAATCTGATTGCAGTTTCTGAAGGGTCTCATTACCCACAATTGGTCAACAACATGCACACATGATCACATATGCACGCAGCAATGCAGTTGATGAACTTCACAGTTGCAAGCGCCTACAGGGTTACGGCTACACTTCTTGCTTCTTGTGGCTTTATATGGTGAAAAAATAGCCGAGTACACTGAGTACACCTTACAAATTCGTACACTCGTACACTGTGTAATCCTGTATGTTTGTCTGAGTTTGGTGCCTCTGTCGCTGGGTATGTTATTCATGTGGGCAATTGGAAGTGCTGTCAACTTATGAAGAAGGGATTGGCAGGTCAAGTTGAGTGGTCCTTGAGGACCCCAAGGTCACAGAATACAGCAGGTCGACGCACATTCAAGAAGACCTACTACGTTCAATAATCTGATCACACTCCATGGACCAAAATTTGTGCTGCGCTCTTCACAGCGGAAAAACATGTGTTAAAACATCTGTACCTTGATCTCCCAAACACGTGTCACATGTCTGTATATATGTATATGCAAAAGTATATACATAGAGCGTTTTGTGTACATATTTCAACCTAGGAACGCGTTTGTATCGCAATGCGATTGCTCTTTCCTTGAGAGATCCAGGTGGGCCCTCTGCCCCCAAATCAGCTCCTCAGGAGGTCGGCTGCTCCGTTCGCCTGGATCAGCTAGCTAGGGTGGTCTCTTTTGAGTACATAATTCAGTGGGAAAATGTGTTACATTGCATACCAGTTGAAAGTTAGGTTTTGAACAGCGTCACAAGAGTTGGCATGTCTAGTGGTCAAGGGACTGGCCAACGGCCAAAGCTAAAGTCTAAAGCAACACCGCCGCGTGCCATTTCCGGTGTCATGGATCACGTCTAACATGTGTGCATGCAATGGGACTCTTCCAGAACTATCAGGACTTGTGGAGTTCTGTGAGAAGGATGGTGGAGGCCCAATCGGCCTCATTCTTTCAGTCATGTTCACATCGGGCACGTCATAGTAAGGGTAGCTTGTCTTGTTCGAAACCTGGAACGTTCTCGTATGTCCTGGGCTGCAAATGCCCCGCATGACACTGCCTGCTGCCCTGCCTTTAGTGGTTGAAGCTCAAAGGTTGAATTTAACCAGTGTCTGTCTAGGTTCCTCCCCTTTCCACCCAGTTCCACGGAAGATGTTAAACTTCAATCTCGTGCTGGCGAAGAATGCAAACTTTGAAATATCACGTGCAATCTTCAATGTTCAAGCCACCCTGCAGCTTCTCCAGTGCAGCTAAGCCTCCCTCGATTTTGATGATTGATGACCTGTGCTTGGCTTCCCCTGAATAATACCTGTAGCGCAACAGCACAGTTGCGTGAATGCTGGCGGCTCAGGTGCTCAAACCGCAGGCTTACAAAATACACCGCTTCGTCAAAGAAGGGATGTGGTTGGAGCATGATCTGGATTGAGTCTTGAAGGGTTTGGTAGCAGATTTGGGTGTTGAACATGCCTTCCAATGACACGAGTCATGCTAAAACCATCATGAGATTGTGCTACAGGAACTTTGAAGCTCGTGTTGAGGCCTATGTAGTGCCAATATGTGCCAATCAGGAGGGAATTTAGACTCTTGATTAACGACTGCCTGCAGCACTGACGGCGGGATTCGCTCTTCGGTTGCGGCTGAAATAAAAAGGACATACGGGCATGTCCTACTTTCTTGGTGTAAGTGACGGACCACGAAACAAATACACTTCAATCCACGGAATTGCTGCGAAGTGTCAGGCTATAGCTGCCATGAGGACAATCTTTTGGAATCTCCCATGTGATCGTCACTGTGCTCGCTGAGATGCCTGAGATGTGACATCGGATCGAAAAAAAGGGACTCCACACGCCCGCAAAGGACAACATCTACGGCTTGAAGTTGAATAAGGAAAAGGTCAAAAGGTGCAATATAGTTTGCTATTAGGTATTGCCATTAGAGACAAAATTAAGTATGGAGCATGCCATGTATCAAAGAATTGAGCACCAAACTAAAATCGCGTTCTAACGTGTTTCTCTGCCCGAAGCCAAGATGCCAACGCGTTTCCATTCAAAGCGTAACTCCCAGTCATTGTCATCCGCAACCTTGCAGGTCAAACCTTCTAGAAAGTCTCAGTCCTATACCGGCTTCCAACAAAGCTTTGGCGGCTCTAGCCTTTGTGTCACTCTTTGCTTACGGTGTTCAATTCAGAACGTACATTGGTACATGCAGCACGTGCATCAAATACATTCCCAAACACCCTTCCCAAGCCCGCGGCCATGTGCCAGGTCTTTCCATCGTCCTAGCACTCTTCTAGAACTGGTGCTACACAGCAGGCTCTGCACAACCCTAAGTCTCTCTCTCCCCGGGCATGGCTCCCTGCTGCCTCACAGTCAGGCGCAGTGTAATTACTCCAATCTCATTCTCTTTATTCTTGACCACAGGGCTTCTCTTAACGTGGTGGCATCAGAAAGGAAGGACAATGTGGAAGAGAGGCATTGTTTGCATTTGCTTACCTATGACCTGTTACAGCTCTTCGGCAGTGTTTTAGTCTCTTGCAAAAGTCCTTCTAGAGGTGATAGATGGTACCTATGAGAACAAGGCCAGATTTCAAAAATTAACAAACATGAGGATTTCTGGTATGTTTTCGGGGCTGCCTGTCGTAGTAGACAAGGAAGGGAGATCAATAATTACATAAGTGAAACCACTACCATACATACTGGCAAAAATCAGGTTGAGTGAGCAAAGAGTGGCTGTGGGGTGCTATCACCTAAAGCACGAAATGAAACAACACATACTTGTTCAAGACTGAACAAGGTGATGAAAACGCCTACTTTAAAACGCAGCAAAAGTATGTCAAAGATAAATGAGTGGGACATTAACAAACAATAGAGACATACACAATGAATAATGCGCTTGTAAGGAGCATGTCATGTTCAGTCATTTTCATGTTCATAGGTTCTGCTGCAAATTGTGGTGTGAAATGCTGATTCTGATGCTAAAGACTAAAGCTGAGACTCTCACAATAAACTTCGAACACAGAATTGACAACGACTTACCGCCTTCAACAAACTATTATGAAACTTGGTCTGCAGACTCGGTTCCAACTGTTCTATATGTCCTTAATATTGATTAGTGTTAAAAAATACATGTTGATGAAGGATGATGAAAGAAGGAGCGGTGTTGGTGGTAAAGCAATTAAAGTCCATCCATTAGCACATGCAAAAAAAGCAAACAACACCAGTACTGTTTGCATGGCTTGATGCCATGTGTTCCGTGTAAACGTGGCGTGCCGCTGGTGAGCAGGATGATTGTGGATGAGGCCTGGCGCATGTATATGATAGTTAAAACAAATATACTATACCTGTAACCCCGCCACAAAATCCAGCCCTCAATAATGCGCAGCAAACAATGCAAATACAACTAAACCACTCAAGGGTGGGTGAGCAAGGATGCTACTGCTCCTGGATCAGTCAAGAATTGTAGCACTCTCAGAGCAAGAGAAGCTCTAAAAGAGTTCCGAGCTAGGTGGCCGGTCCCATATATCTGATATACAGTACATAAACACATATATGTGCATATTAAGCATTTATTTGGCGATGCTGCTATAAAGTTGAGACTTGTGGCTAGAATCGAAGTGATCTTGCCGCTAAACAACTCACACATACCATGGCGGATCTATGCATGCGAATGTGAAACTGTCGCTGGCGTCGGGGTCCTTCAGGCGCCAAACCGAGACAAACGAGGAATTTCTTCGCAAATTATTGCGCGGATGTGCGCCCCAAATCGTGGCCTTCATTCGACAGGAGCGAAGGAACCATTGCAAAAAAAGAGCTCTGCCCCGAGTACTTCAAGGAATGGCAAAACACTTCCCTCCACGCCAATCTTGGCGGCATAGACACCTTTGACTCGTAATCAGTTGCTATATGTTGCAATTGAACAAACGCCCCCATCAACCTGCACTCTGTGTCCGGGAGCATACATCCTCAGAATCCGAGTGGATGCGAATTCATGGAGGCCCGAGCTCCAGCCATTTCAAACTCGTTTCAATCATCTCTTAAACTGAACTCTGAGCCGAGCATCCCTCGAACGTCAGTCTTTACATCACCAAATTTCCCGCCTACCAAGCGACACCGACACCAAGCGATCGCTGCCGGGCCCGGAAGTCCAAAAGTTCGCTCAAAGTTGACTCAATATGTCACTAGTAGCGATGCCCTCTGGTGCTAGAATGCTACTAATTAGTAATGCCCTTGTTACTAGTAGCGATGAACTTATAATACTACAATAGATCAATAATTTGCTGAAACATGCTGAAACATGTCAACAAATGTCCTAATGTATGTCACCCCGGCTGATTCCGTTCTTTCCCGGCCGATTGGAGGATCATCCGCAACCACATCAGTCCTTGGATGCCATGAGGGTGTGCATGGAGAATAGAAGGGGCAAACAAACATTGGAGACAGCCAGCTAAACGGGAGTCAAAGGCAGTGGACCATAGTGGGCCCGCAGCAGTTTTCGCACCAGGGTTGCTTATTCCCACATCCCGAGATGCATCATATAATATCATATGGTGTATGTGCCAGTCAATCTAAATGGGTCATTTGATGTCATTTGCACATTTTTGGGGATCCTGTCAGCTCAATCGTGCACTGCCCTATGCCCTATGCGAATCCTTCCCGTCCACAAATCGAAAGCTTCAACTAAACAAGCCTGAAAGCAACACTTGTTAAGTTGAGTTGACTGTTGATTGGTTCATTCCCACTGAGGCAAGCAATTTCGCAACGCACCAGGATGTGGTGCCTATTCCAGAAACAGGCCACGAACGCACAAACGATCACAAACGCCCCATATTAAACGGTGAACGGCAATTTCATTCTTGTGGGCTGTGATCCAACGTACCTCAAAAGGCTCAACCTTCTCTCCATTTGCGTCTTCGAATCCACGTCCAAGAAGCTGCCCCTCCATCATCTGATCCTGCGTTGGGATCTTTGGAACAGCGCCAGGCCAGCGGTAGACTTTTCCCTCTGCCATCTCCTTGTGGAGCCATGAGACAAATCCAAACATCGCAATGCATGAATTTCGATAATGAACCGACCATGTACTAAAAACCTGCTTGCAAAAATGCTTCGATTCAATCTTAAGTCTTAAACGTGATCAACATGCTGAGACGGTGGAGGAAGCTAACAACAACCGTAGCAAGGGAATAGCTTAATAGTTTGCGACAAAACACGATCTCCCGCTGGGACACAAAACGCTCAAACCAATGAGCATGACATGCGCATGACACGGTATGCCAGCGCGCTTCCTCTGCCATCTCCCTGAGAATATTTGTCATTGCGCCATGGGTATGAGGACCGTAAGCGGTGGATCCTCCCTCGTAACGTTGATGTTGGTACTCTTCGATTGTAGTCACATACCCGGCCTTAGCCACTGGATCTCACTGGCCACAGCGGTTGTTGTGCGGTATGCCAGTTCAAGCTGAGACATTTATGGGCGCTGAGCGGCATATCCACTGGCACAGTTGTTGATCACAACGCGGGCATCCGGACTCACCACTCCTGGTGCGAAGGCTCGAGGCAGAAAAGGAAAGCCACAGCTGATCTGGCACTGAAAACGGTGAGGTCGGTTGGCTCCATGTGCAGAAAAAAACAGCCTGGAGGAAAGTCTGGCAGTGAGCTCACAGTAGATGATGCTGGATGGAAATTGGGAACCCTGGCAACCAATAGGCAATCGAACAAACAAGTAATTGATGACGCTTTGACGCAAACCAAATGAAAAAAGGATGAGGATGAAGCTGGTTGAAGTGAGGCGGGCCAGGTGTGCTTGGGCGACAGGGCGTGAGTTAATTGATTTTCCCAAAAATCTAGGAACCAAATCATGAAGGTTCAGGCTTCAAGGAAGCTCCTAGTAGCGTCCTTTGCTCCTAGTAGCGATGCCCTTTGTTACTAGTAGCTTCTTGTTACTAGTAGTAAGGCCAGGAGCCCCTAGTAGCGTCCTTTGCTCCTAGGAACCCAATCAAGGTTCAGGCTTCAAGGAAGCTCCACCTCCCAAGACAATGGCACAGTCTGGGGTGAGTTCGGGGACGAAAGCGGATAAAGTGGGAGCTTGTGGGCCCTGAAGCTTCTGATTGGCTCATGCTACGTACTGTTGGTGGACAAAATCCCGCACCACTATGGAAGCTTACTCCACAAAATTCGATAGTGATGGCAACCTCTTCGCATTCCGTCTTAGCTGGTGCAGTTCAAGCCCTATGGTAGGAGATTAGATTGCATCCGCATTCCCCTAAATATTCTAATCCATATCTGTGCAATCTTAGGGGAAGTATGGAATTAGTGTAGTATGTTCTGCCCAAACTCATTCAATTCGCCCTTGGTCTGCGACCCCGCAACCACCAGGACCCGCTGAGTCCTTTCTCAACGAGGGGCTTCTTGATCGCTTTGGCAGTGCGACGCCCTGCCATTGTGGTGAATTCACCTCAGGTGGGCTGCTAACATTGGCTTGCCACTAGTAACACGTGGTAAAGGAGGCAAGCCACCAGCAAGTGAAGACAACAACCCTCTGAGAAAAGGCAAAACACACTTGAGATTGTTTACCTGTTTTGTGCTGACGCAAAAAATCAATTTTCCAGCGGCACCTGGAACGCCTGCAATGATCAAATCCCCAATGCGAAGCAATTGGAACGCCATCCTGGAAGGCCTAGGTCCAAAAGAAGGTCTCCTGCAAAGTGACAATGACTTTCAACTCTGGTGAAAGTGGAACCTCTCCATTCCTGCAAGGTTGTTGCTGCTTTACTGCAACCACGGCACATGTATGGATAAGGCGCCTTCATGCTACCAGTGTACAGCAAGATGTCTTTGGGAGCATGGCAACTGGTCAGGAAAATGCAAAGAACCAGCCAAGAATGATTGGACTTTCCACTCCGTTGCCAGTTGAAGCAAAAGCAAAGGGCCGGGAAATGCTTCCCACAGATTCAAGTGCCTACTTCATCTTACCTAGGTTAATTAATCTCAAATGCTTCTTGTCCAATTCGATGCAGCTGATGCAAATCGATGCAAAATGGTCACATAACACAACCCTGCCAGGACCCTGACCTTTCACTCAAGCCTCCGCTTTTTGCAGTGTGAGGAATCCAGCACCACAGAAAGTTTCAGTGTCAAGCCATCTGAAGTGCTTTGCATGCCGTGTCCCAAGTTGTCGTGCAATGCATATCATGATCACCCATGCTTGCTATGCTTGCTGATGAATGTGCCCAGCGCGATGCTAAATTGTTGGGTACTCTTGCTGATCCTTGCTTGCACTTGTGGCAAGTTCAGGTTTTACACGCCTGGCACACATCCACACACGTATTATCACATATATATATATATGCGTTTATGGATACACTCATGCCTAACGATGTCATTTCAGATCGTTGGAGGCACCGACCCTCAGAGGCCAATCCCATCCCGTTTTCCCTCCTCTTCGCTTCAGCAGGAGGCAATGTGATAAGATGTCCCAAGAATCGAAGAAAACCATTTGTTGGCGTCATATTCCTTGGGGCTCGACGTTCCGCATCAAAGCCAGCTGTTCAGCACTTGGAAAAACATGGAGCTTCATGCAAGTTGTTTTCAACTACGCATTGTGCGGCCAAGGCACTGTCCAAATTCATCCACATGACTAGGTCCATCAGTGGTCCCTGCTGCGAAGGTAGTGCTCATAGCCGGTGGACAGGTGCGCCCAGGTCTACCATCCTACCGTGGGCACCGAAGCCTCCAACGTAACAACAAACTATAGACAACTATATACATTTGACCTTTTAAAGCCCGATGGCCTCCAACCTAATAGCGATGGCCTCCACATGGCTCCACCCTAGTAGCGGTGGAACACGGCACTGAATTAGCCTACTTCTAGCAAGTCATCCCGTAGAAAGACTTGATGCTACGGATGCGGCTGACTGGTGCAATGCGCTCATCTCATTGTGAATCAAATACGGCCCTCTGAATCTGACAAAGCCAACTCGGAGAGGTTCAGTCCTCGTACTTGAAATAGTATTGGGTCAGGTCAACGTAGCGGGTACGATAGTCGACTCCACGCCCAATGGAGCGGTCTGCGCCGTCAAAAATATGCCTTGCAAACGAAGAAGCGACACGAGCTCTCCTCTCCGTTCCTCTCAGCGATATATATATATATAATTATTATGAATTGCCTTCAAATACTGCAAGATCTGCAAGTAATTAGATACTTATTTATAGTTTATAGTTATATAATTATATACTTGCTAAGTTGGCACTGCCAAGTAGTCGTAGACATTCCCCCACCTGGCTGCCAAGTACTGCCGCTCGCCAATCACCTTTGTGGAATGGAGGATGTCCCCGCCGCCAGGACCATACGCGTTGCATTCTCCGTTGCTGGGTTTCCCACGGTGGTCATAGCACACCTAGAAAGACATCAAGATATCGCAAATGGAGGTGCTCATTGCTCGGGTTGTTAGCTGCAGGAGAGCTCAAAAGAATGCCACCTCATGGCCTTCATTTACAATTCATTGACTGCACTTGACTTTCTTCATCTGTCTTTGCAATTTTATTTGCACGCCTTTGGCATGCTTGGTGCTGGAAGACTGTTTAAGCTCAGCCGCTGATTGAGCAGTTTCGCAAGACTTTCCGTCCTGCAGCCATGGCTCAACTGACCAACCGCAATACCAACCCTTCAGCATGCATGGTTTGTGCATATCCCGGCCCGTGTGCGCTAAAACATCCCCACACCGTTCTTTCAAGCCAAGCCCTGCCGTTTCAATTTTCATCATCTCGCCCAATTCAAAACGGGTCTGAATGCTTAAGGACAAATTGCAGCAAAACCTGCAGTACGGGAAGTGGTGTTCTCCGCTGCTCTCTGCTTCTCGTTGCTTTTCGGCTTCTCCTGGCACCAGCTGCCATAGGTGTTTGGCGAAATGTCCCCAGCTGCCCCGGCTCCAAATCCAGCGATGAAGGGCCCTCGTCCGGCTGGGCGGACTGAGCTAGGACCGTTGATGGCCTGTGACGTGTGAACATTCAAAACAAAACGGGAAGAAATCTGCCCTGCAGACTGTTACTAGCAGCTTCTTGTTACTACTAGTAAGGCACTTGTTACTAGTAGCGATGCACTTGTTACTAGTAGCGATGCCGAATGAAAAATCGATGTCCAGAGTTACAAACAAAACATTCCCACCCAACATCATCTATTGACCGTGCGCCTTTTCGAAGAGGTACTGTGCATAGCCCTTGTTGTCTCCTTGCACTGGTGACTGGGGGCACCGGTTCCCCCTTCTATGGCAGCTAGGGCAGCTTAGGACGCTTCTGTTTGCACTCATACCGCCATGCCAGCACTTGTAGTCTAAGCAACGTTCTTCACTGCATGAACTAGTTTGTGACTTGTTTCTGGTTGAAGATGTTGAAGGTTTTCCAGGAGCCCCCAAAACCTTGAAGACCTTGTTGACCTTCCACGCAGGGGGAGCGGGTTCATGTCATCTTGTTACTCTGTTACTCCGGAGCTGCGGTTCAGGCATAGATCTACATAGGATGTTTTTGGAAAAAGGCTCTGGGTATGCGCGAGCCATGCAGTCCATAGCACCACACAACATGGGTGCATCATCCTCAAAAGGCGAAACTCCCTGCGTCCTAATCGTTAGGCAAGGTCAAAGCACATCTGAAGGTTTATGTTTGGAATTGGTTTGTTCTTCATTGTGGTGCGAAGGCATTTGTTGCACGGGCACTTGATTTGCGCACGGCCAACCATAGGCCAATCATACTTGTCTGAGTGCCCTGCAATTATCGTGTTCATGGTTCCTAGAAGCCTTTGTTTCTGGTAGCTTCTTGCTACTAGTAGTAATGGCCTCCACCCTAGTAGCTTCTTGCTACTCTTCTTTGGTGGCGCAGGCCTGAAATGAGACCACTGCTGCTTTTCATGCTCGTGGCGTGGACTGCGAACCAGTTCATCGTGCCCATCGGCTCCCCAGTCTTCGCGTCAACAATCTTGATCAAATCCATGTCGTAATCCTTGACAGTCGAAACAGCAAATTTCTAGGTTGAAGGAGTCATTTCACATCATTTCACCCTATCTGCCCACTGGTCCGAAGTGGCTTTGCACGGCCCTGTCGCAAGGAACCTTGAAAATGGCCAAGTGCCCCCCAATTTCTGCTTTCCGAATTTCCATGTGTGCCGCTCTAGGTGCAATGGGAGCCACGGCGAAGTTGTCTGCATGATTTCACTTGTGCGGGCTACCGTGCATCTGGCTAATCTGGCCTAAATCACACATCTGCCGCGTGCAAGGTACCATGTTGCTGGAGTAGTTGGCCCGCTCCTGCTGAGTTGGATCAGCGCTTGGCAACTGAAAGCCCCCGAGCCTACTCCAAACAAAAACACAAGAAACACATCGAAAACATTCCAAAGCAAGCCCTATGCCCCCTGTCTATGCACACGTGACCCCGAGTGCTCCTCCTCAGGATTGTGCAAATAAGAGGTGGGGCTCCGGTTCCGCGAGGCACAGTACCTCGGCTCCACAACAGCGTCACTGGACTAACAAAAAACAGCAAAAACAAAACCAGTAGGAAGCTACTTGTTCCTAGTAGTAATGCCAGGAGCTACTAGTACATGACATGGGAAAAACACACTTACATGCGTGTTATTTTATGCATGACATTCCATGACTATCCCTTCTTCTCGGAGCTAAATATCTCTACATCTTCGGCCAAGCTGCGGCATGGGACATCCTGGCACCGTGGTGTTGTCCACCGGGCCCAGGCCCATGGTCACCTGCGGGTTTCGTTGCACTAGCTCGAAGGAACCTAAGAAGTTCAACATTGGAACTCCTTCGCCGGGCGGATGTTGTAGTGGGCCATCTTCACCGCTTCGGTCATGCCATCCACAAGCGCCTCACATTTTTGTTCACTCCATTCTAGCAAGTCTAGCTCGCACCCTTCACACCTTGTATGTCATATGTTTCGCCCCCTTCGTCCACCACGATTGAAAATTCCAAAGTCGTGTTGCGACGCGAAGATCACGAGAACTCGAAGACTGCCTGGGTGGATTGCTTGACATATCCAAAGGACGACACCTGGTAGAGGTAGTACCTCCAGTGGTGCAAGCTGGCAGGTGCACGTGCTTGCTGGGAAGAACCGCGCAACAGCATCTTCTTAAACCAGCTAAGCCAGCACCTGCTGACCAAGTTACGGGCTTGTTCCAGCTGGGCCCATATGGGTGTGGCTTGGTCCAATGATAACGTTGTGCCTGCCAAATCAGGACCATTTCGGAATGTTTGCACAACAAAAAACTCGAATTAACATGCAAGGAGGGTGTCCAAAGTATGCAAACATCCTGCAAGTACGGCGCGGCCGATGCAAATGCTGGCGGTCGCACCTGCTATACAAGCCAGGGAGTTCCATAAGCAGTCGCCCTTCCAATCCTTGAATCAGAGACTCTGTAGCAGCCCAAGTGTCCACCGCAACATAGATCATGCGCCTGAGTACATAATCATTAATTGTCGGGCAAGCAGGAATGGTGTCTCGCACACTTTCTGAACAGAAACATCGACACCAACGAAAACAACACATTGTTGCATTGTAATTGCGCGTGGAAATTTTGCTGCCCCTCACCTTTCATGAGAACGATTCCAAACCACCAAATTCAAAAATATGTTTTTAACCCCTTGTTCAAAATTGTGTTTACAGTGCTGGCTCAACATTGACACAACCAGAGCCGCTTGTTGGCTTCAGGATCCAAAAAGATGAAGGCTCGCGCGTGCAAGCCTTGGCATAAAAGCGGAACTGCTTTACTAGGCCCTGGGCACAACACTGGGACTTCCCGTTTTGCAGCTCTTCTGGGAGTGATCACTTTACTGAAGCCAAATTCAACTAAAGCCGCGCATGACTTAACTTGACGTCGAGCCATTGTGGCAATCATGAATACTTGCCACCTGAAACACGCCTTGGCAGCTACGACCGCGACACCATGCTTATTCAAACAAGGCTCGCATGTGAATTCCAGTGACTCGCTGATCCTGATCTGCATAGCCCATCATCACGACTTCCTGATAAGTTACGGCGCGGCAAAACATCACACCCAGCCCTTCCTAAACCCATGCCCCACAGTCATCGTCAAACCACGTTGGCCTGCTGGGCACAAAAGTCTTCAACTGTGCCCAGGCACGAACCCTCACATCAACAAAATCGAAATGCACACAAATGATCACACATTCAAAGCACCGAAAAATTGCTAGCTGCTAGTTGCTGCTCGTAAGCTTGAGGCCGGCATATTGGCGGCCCGAAACTGTATACACCCCGTTGCACCCAAGAAAATCTGCATTGCCAAGCTTTACGTATATAAGATTATATAAGCCGTAAACTAAGCCGTAAGCAAAGTTTGAACAACTGCAGCAAGTACACGAGTGAAGCTGCCCTACTCACCTACTCTGGCTCAAGTGGCTGCTGCCGGTCCGGTGACGTCAGCAATGCCAACTCCTTGGTGGGACACTCGACCAACCCGTTGGGAGCGGTGGAGCGTAGAGACGCAAAGCAAAGGATGGTCAGCCTTTGCGGTTCTTGTAGCCAGCCTCCCCCAAGATTAAACAAACCAAGAAAATGACAGCCTACAAATGGCTACAATACCCCACGACTCTTGACCTCTGTTGGGTCCAAAAAGAAAACGTCCTAGAGTCTAATTGATGAGAACCGTTTCTGTACCTTTGATACCTGCTTTGTCTTTGACAACCTGTACTAACGACCACACTTGACACATCATTTGGCCCATTCGGCATTTAGGGCCGCCGACCGACATGGTACTCAGCGCCGGCCACGCCCAGCAAAACAAAGATCTTCGCAAGCCTTCAAGGTTCAAGGGGAAGGAACTAGACCTAAATGTAGGGAACAGTGTTGTGCACATCTTGATTTCCAACACATGTGTCAGTGAACGCACGGCTCAATTCAGGCCACCCCCTCTCCTTCTCCCTCTCCCTCTCCCTCTCTGTCTCTCTCTCTCTTTCTCTCTCTCTCTGTGCGCGTTCAAGCCACTGTTGAAATGTGATTGGCCTGAATAATTACTGGAGCTTAGTTGGAATGTGCATACATTGCCAAAACATGCCAAAAGAATTTGTGCAGCTGAACCACATCCGCCAGGACAACATGGCTGGCCGTTCCAAGAAGCAAAATGGTTTCGATCGGCTTTGTGCATTGGATGAGAGTTCGTCAATTTACAGTGACACCTTTCCACATAACCTCAATATCAGCGGTTTTGCAACGTGTTTCAAGCTGAGAATGCTTTGCGGGATTTGCTTTTGAATTGATAGCACAGCTCCAAGTGCCTGCTTGCCGTTGAGCACGGTAGCCTGAGAAAAGAGTTACTCAACAATGTATATATCTATAACTACGTGCAAATTTCAGCGTGCAAATCCATAGTGCATCCGCAAAATGTTTTGCCTGAGCTTACTCACCTGGTCGGGCCAAGCCACGCACGCCAGCCGCGGCCAACAGCCCCGCAGCAACTTGCCTAGCCTCAATGAGATTCGCAAACTTATTTTTATCCCGAATTGCATTGTTGTCAAGGCGCCCTACAGTACAGTCATGCAAGGGTGTGTTGTGCTAATTTGTATTGATCTTTGCTGCCGCATTCAGCATCTGCATCAACAAAAGAACGTCTTTGTGGATCTTGCAAGCCACGCGGCCCACAACGAGGGGCTCCTTTCCCCAGCCGTCGAAGTAGCACAGGCGGCGGCCGCCTCAGCAGCCCAAACCAAGAAGCAATTTGAACTACAAACGGTGGTTCGTGCGTTGCACAAAGTGTTTTCAAAGCAGCTTTTGCAGATTCAATTCAAAGGAGACATAAAAACAAAAACACTTAAAGTCAAAGTTTGTCTCTCACTATACCACCTATATAATATGCAATTCTGCTCGCCCGAAATGTTCATAAGGTACCCACTTTTCCAATCCTGTGCGCTTGCCGTGCTACAGGACGCATGCGCTCCGTCGCCTCCCAAAGGTTCTTGCGCTTAATGTTAGCATCCCAGTCAACGTTCGACAAGTGCAAATTTTGTAAAAATTGTTCAATCACCCCGTCCTCCAGGTATCGCGGCAATGAAAAAGGCAAGCCACTTGCCATATCCATAATGCACAAAAGTATCAGAAATGTCCACTCATTGCAATCAGTTCCTGCTTTGATACCATGTTGTTCAGTGTTCAGTTCCTAGCTTGCTTTCCTGGAGGAGGAGCAGCATGAGGGTGACTGCTACTATAAAATGATACTGTACTGTATATATAGTCTACCAACACGAACTTGGGAACTACTAGCCTTGAAGAAGTACTTGCCGCACTTCCCATGATGACTCGGCAGGGAAAAGCAATCCAGAAAGTGCTCATGAAGGAGGAAAGTGACGGAAACTTGGACTGTTTGCAGGAGGGCAAATCTTCGCAACACTATGCCAGTTCCAGTGAAGAACAACATGATCCAAAGGCATCCGCATTGTCGCCATCGATGCCAAATGCCGATTTCCCCAAAACCCAAGACCGGAAACTATATGGAAGATGCTCGAAGCAAACTGGATAGTGCTCACATCCCTTCGATCGACTGAGATGGTTGGCCAATGGAAATGGTCGTTATGCCGCCTGCAAGGTCTGTGGGTTCAAGTCCGTATTATATACTTTTCAAAAAAACTTGGATGGTTGGAAGTGTCTCACCGGAGATTGTGGTTCACGAGGCGTTGGCAATGAACACCCCAGGCATGGCCATCACGGACAGTGGGTGCCGGACGGCAGTCGCAGGCGAAGTGTGACATCAATCCTCTCAAGAGCAGGATGACCTGGATTGAGGAGGGGTAACAAGAAGTGTTCCAGTCTGTTGGATCAGGACGAATGGAGGACAGCAACAAAGCCTTCATCTACCCAATGGAGGTACATGGAGCACACAACTCGGATGTCTTGTGTTGGTGGAGCTGCGAACTGTTGATCCATCCAAAATGGTGTGCTGGGTCGTTGTCATAGACTTTGCCTGTAAAGGGATGGATGCTGGCAAGCGACGGTTTTGACAGCAACACGGCACCCTGTGGATGTTTCCAAGATCCCCCCAACCATGGCCAGGATTTTCAGCAGAACGCGTTGATCAAAAAAAACGAAGGATTGGGGGCTGGTTCATGAAAAGCACGCGACGAAGACTTCATCACATCCTATGAATTTGGGCTGCAAGCCGAAAACAATTCGGCAGTATGAAGTCATGTGGAAAGGGGGAGAAGCAACAAGATCATACGATTTATACGCACAGGAAACAAAAATAACATGAAACAATGCAAGTTCCGTGTTCGATGTCAAGACGGTTCAAGAAAGGACCTTAAAACAAGTTGGAACTTATTACCTGGACTTGCATGATTTCATTGTGTGCAGCCCGGAGAGGCACTTCCCTGGCTGCCATAAGCCTTCTCAACTGGGACCCCTACCAGGAAAATCATCAGCAAGAAGCATTGGCATAAATGGAAAAGTTGACCCCGACCTCCTGGTGGTGGCATGGCCATGTACCATGGAGCGTCTTGCAAGGCCGTGAAAACAAAAACACCGAACAATTCAAAACTCGAGAGATTTGTGGAGGAAACTGTCAAGCAACAACGAACCGGAAGAAGATTGGGTCAAGAACCTGGGATGAACCAAGTATACAGGCTGCCTTTGAAGGATTGCCTGAACAATTCAGATCACGGATATGGCATGGTATGGCCATTCTTCACGAAAGTACAAGATTGCGGGTCTTTCACGGCCTCATCGCGAAGCATGTTCCTTTTCTTTCCTTTTCCACTTGCTGTCCGTGAAACACGCTCCCGCACGCGCTATCCACGCGACGCACACAATGCACAAAGCTGCCTCAAGCGCGCAGGGAGGCGGTTCGGGGAAGAAGGCCCTGACTCCGCGAAGGGAGGGTCCTACAACCATGTCAGCTATATTGGACTCCGTTGCCACTTGATCCGGTTAACATGGGCACAATTTTTCATGTTTAGGGACAGACATCTTGCAGCACAACCCCAACAGAAGGTAAAGTTTCCACAACTTCTTGCAACATCTGTCCGCCACGTCGGCGGAAGCAACTACAAGAAGAGCCCTCTCCAAAATACATTTCTGAGCACCAACCTTCCCAAAGTTGACAGCGCAGCTCCCAAAATCAAAGCCTACTACCCAAAAACGCCAATAGTGTCGCGCACACCCACGTGGCCCCAAGACCGGTAAATGCAATTGATCCAGAAAGAGTTCCACAACCGCGCTGCATCTGTGGTTTCCGGAAAGCAGCTGGGCGCTCCAACGGCATTGGGAAACCAAGGGTCAGGTACAAAAGGGCAGCGCCAGTGCGAGCCCCGAGCGCCAAACCCACTCGAATTGCAAATCTTCGGAGTCGAACACCTCCGGTCCCGAAGCTGTTGAGAGATGTTGAAAGTGATTCGTCGTCCTCCATCAGGGTCCCAACGATATTTCCAGCGCGCCGCCGTCGAGATTGAAGAGAAAGGCTTGTTGAGCCAGGTGCTTTGCCAACGTCTGTGTTGCATGTGTGTAACAGCAATGGCGACAGAACAGTTGGATTTGCGCCCCTGGCCGTTGCGTTGATGTTTCGTGATGTCAAAACAAACATTTCATTCCATGGAAACCGAATGACGCAGTTGTCGTTGACGCCTTGCAAGTGTGTGTCCTCCGCATTTTCGCGTGCAGCCGCACAAAGTCATGAACGGGGAAACCTTCCTCAGGCACCGCTCATGCGTGCAGGTTTAGTGTCACACTCCATGCCTTGGAGGTCCGAAGTACGTCGTAGCAGCGCCAGTCCCAACCAACAGGCACAGGTTGGAACGTAACACTGCACAGTTTCACACGTGCATGCTTTCAGCTGTCGCAAAAAGTAGCTGTAGCTCAAAATGTGCTACGCTGCTGCGTTTCAAGGCCTGTGTAAGTAGAGTGAGCCCAATACGTCCGTGTTGTGTGACCCCGCACAGTGTCTTAAGTCCTGGCGGAAGTATAGGCACAATTCAGCCCAATCTTCGCGCCAGCTACCAACAGGGTGATGCAGGGAGTCTGGACTTTAGCGGCGCACTTGCAAAATTTTCGCGGAACTTCGCTGATGATTTCCCCGGGTAGGTGTGAAATTTGCAAGCACCTGCGCAGCCCGTCAGCGCACCTGCAGGTCGTTGGTGCCTACTCAGTTTGCTAGCCTCGGAGAATCTTTTACGCATTGCGAAGGCTGGGCAATGAAATGTTGAGGTTTCAGTTCGTTAGTCTGTGACAATGGGATACACTGGGTAAATGCGGGGGCACTTCCGCCCACCGGCTTTGCAGGAGGATTGCCTTGTATTTCTACCATTTGTCGGTCGGTAGACGGAAACCATATGAAAACAAAAACCTTCGATACATTTTTCGCGGAGAAAACATACATTCGCGAACCTCATCGCGAATATTCGCGAATCTTCGCGGATGGCTTTAACAACATCTGAAGGTTTATTTTATCTATATAGAACTCCTTACACCAACGAAGAGTATGAAAACGAAACGCACTACCTTCGTACAAGAACGTTGCTATGCAGCATATGCAGGTTGTGAAAGGAGCTGCAGGCTACCTCAGGACAGGCAAAAGGCATGAAAATTATGTGCAATGAGAGTTCGTCCCAGAGTGCGCACGGAGGTGCTCAGGAGAAGGGCATCTTCATGCACCAGTCACCTGTTCTCGGAGTAGTGAAAGTTGGTGGTCATTGGAGGACTCTTTCGGACTTTGCTGGGGGTTACATGAATTGATCAAGGCTCAACAAAAGAAAATCACCGACCTCGTTCACAGAAGATTGTTCTACCCGTCCAATGAGGTGCTATGCCGGATGCTGAAGTTGGCAGGGGCTAACAAAGATCTGGCATTCTTTCTGACATTCTATCTGGCATGTTTTCTGTTATTCTATCTCGCACATTCTGGCTGGAGTTCTATCCGGCATTCTGTCTGAAATTCTGTCTGGCATTTTCATATTCTATCTGACATTCTATCCGGCACTCTTTTTGACATTTTTCGGTTGAGGTCCGGCGGTGCTCACTGCGATCTGGACGCCGCCGGTTGAGCTCCGGCAGTGCTCACTACCCTCTTGAGCTTGTAGTTGAGGTCCGGCAGTGCCCACTGTGATCTTGACCTTGTGGTTGAAGTCCGGCGGTGCTCACTGCCCTCTTGAGCTTGTAGTTGAGGTCCGGCAGTGCTCACTGCCCTCTTGAGTTTGTAGTTCCGGCAGTAGAGGACCAGGAGGAGAAGGAGGAAGAGAACATGAGCTCACATAAAATCTAACAACCCTCACCTGGCAGGTGGGGAACAAGCGAAGACCATGAGGTGTACATTCAGAAGGTGATAGAAGGTGCGACATGTACAAGATTAAGTTGAAGAACAAACAGGAGAAAGAGATGGGTAGAGCTTGTGAGAAGGGAGAAACAGTGGCAGCAGAAGTACAAAGAAGTGCTTCTACTAAAGTTGAAGGCTTCGGGGAAAGAACTGGACCCACGTTGGTTCGAAGATGAAGCAACAGTCGAATGGAGGCGGTTCGGAATGGGGTCGTGCGAAGGTTCCAAGTCATGCAGTTTTGCGCATTCCGTTGCGACCCGAAGGACGCTACGAACGGAGCAAGGACGCTACTAGGGGCTCCTGGCATCGCTACTACGAGCAAAGACGCTACTGAGGGCTCCTGGCCTTACTAGGAACAAGGTTCGCCATTAGAAACAAGAAGAACAGGAATTCAAATTAGAATTGTTCGGGTCAACAAGTCCAAAGACCCGAAGGTGGCGAAGAGTAGGACGGTCCCGGGACACATGGATCCAGGATTAGGCCAATATAGAAGCGATAGTCCGTCGGATGAAATCCTTGTGTCACACTTTGTTGGAATGATGCCGACTATGATGGTTGGACAGTTGAAGTTGGCAGCCATCGTTCTTTGAGAAAAAAAATTAGCAGTTGCTTTCGGGGAAACATGTCAATCGCACGGCCATTTGTGGGCGACGATGCCAAACACGTGTCCAAGCCACTTTTCTAGCACCTACATCTGGCTGTTGACTTCTCCACGTGTCCAACGTACTTCAGGCCCTCGCGCCTGTGGAAGTTTTTTGTTCTTCCTGCAATGTTTTATCATTGGTCAACGTGGTATTACATTTACTGCGTATGTTCATGTACTTTCAATCATCCATTCATTTCATTGTTTCTCGCCCAAGTTCGTCCTAATTTGTCTGTCTAGAGTCTAGAGTATCGCCCTTTTTGGATCACATAGTGGGGTGTCGGCTCTTGACTTTCTAGAGTACTTTCTAGTTGGATCTTGTCCATGGGGTTTCTTTAAACATCTTTCGACAATTATATACAGAAAAACAATTGAAGCTAGCGTGCAAAACCAATCGCGCTTGTGATTTGGAGCCCGTGATAGGTTTTTTGTTCTCACAGCGCCCTTTTTGCATGGTAGGGGCAAGGGGTACGTTGCGTTTGCACGAGGGATGGCTACCAACCCATCCCTTGAATCCCCTTGAGAGGTACTGAGGAGCCAAAGCTATATGGCGGCCTCAAATGGTCAAGTCAAGTTAAGCTTCCCAAAAAACCTATAGGACAAGTGCTTCGCGGGGGGAGCTTATTGAAGAAGCGTGAGCTATCCTGCACCCTAGCTCGGAGCGAACCTTCTGAACTATATAAAGCAGGGAGGGAGGCGGGGCGTCAGGCTTTAAAAATAACACAACCCCAAGTCAAACCACGCGAGATCCCTACAGCGTCTCTGCGCATTGGTGGTCGACTGATCGGACCGTTGTCTGATCGGTTTGGATCGGTTTGGTGGTCGACGGAACGCACATGGGACACGAGTCGAAGGGATCCAATGAGTGGCCTGAAAATGGCCGCAGGAGAGTCCCACGCTCGCCCTCTTAGGTCTATCCATGTCCGCACGTCCCAAAACTTGCGGCCGCAAAAGGACTATATAAGGGGGTTTTGTGGTTAGCTGAGCACAGCGAAACGACACAAGGCAAAATCAACGCAACATGGCACCACCACGTTGGGTCGCCAAGGGGAGAGAACGGTGGATGGGTCGGTTCACGCGGCTTGGTCAGCACCTAATGGTTCTCCTCTTCTGGGTCACTAAACTTGAACGCATGCGACGCATGGGCGCAGTCCGGGTGGAGTTGGGCAGTCGGCGACGATCTGGGCCTTGGGCCGAACACCGGGCCTTGCAGAACGCCCTCCGGTGCTCAGCCTGAGGCCTTCAACGCATCGTTGCGAGTTTGTGACACGATGCAAAGGTGAGCCGTTGGAGTTTGCGAGGATGTGGGTCTACGATGGTCTTTGCACATGTCTTGCGTGACATGTTTTTGCAGGGCAAAAGCTCGTGTGTGATGTTGTGCAGCGTCGGCCTGATTCGAGAACAGTGTAAACGCTGCTCGTCGCATGAGTTGGCATCGTCTCAGCTTGCTTGCAATTTGGCAGTCAAGGCAAATAGTAAATCACACCCAACAAAATGGAGGTTGCTCTACATTGTCACTGGCTCTACATGTCTCAACAAAGCCAGGTCAAACGATTGCGCTTCATTTATGTAGCATGAAGCGCCAAGTAACTGAGAATCAGCCAAGCCATGCCAAGACAAAGTACTGGAGGATTCGGGCGGTCAGAGATGACTAGGACCACGCACGCAAAGTCGCAAGACACAAAACATTCCAAACACATCATCGCTCATGAAGGTTCGACGTGAGACCATGAGAGACCACAACACTCAGCGATATTCGTACCCTGCTGCGAAATTGGGTTTTATATAGCTCCTAAAATGTCCGAGCTTTGAAACGGTCCACTGCTCGTCCGATGAGAACTTTAGACAGCAAACACATATTCAATGCGGTTGGAGTCAAGAAACAAAACGCGCTCCGCTAGCATCGCTTTTTTGCCGAAACCACTGGTCATTTATGGTCTTTTGCCACTTGGCAGCGCTCGTTCAGTGAATCTCCATGTATCCGTCCCAAGTCTTAAGGACTTCTGCGACATCCCTACTAGCGATGGCCTCCAAACTCATTAATGAAAAAAGGAAAACACAATATTAGTAACTTACTAATAGCGATGGCCTCCACCCTAGGTCTTGTTGTTAAGGACTTCTGTGAGGTGTCTTCAGGAATCTGCTTAATTAGATAATTTCTACAAGTGCGGCAGTGAAGTCCATGGAGATTCATGCTGAACAAAAGCTGTCTTTCAGATAGTCAAAGAGTGCCAAGTAGACCTGAGAGCAGTTTAGTTCGGTTAACTGGATGGTCCTGTTTGGGGTGGGCGACATTGTTGCCGCTTTGCCCCAGGTCGTGCCGCTTATTCCAACCCAACTATATCTTGTAAATCTTACATATACGTTTAGGTAGTAACGGCACTGCCTCCATCTACCAGTGACGCTTATCGAAGTCAAGTTTCCCTAAATCTAGGAACCAAATCATTAGTGCAAGTGCTTCTTCAAGGAAGCTCCAGGCGGTGGGGGAGCTTCCTTGAAGAAGCGTGAGCTATCCTGCGTCCTACGACCTAGAAGCTAACTTAGCCTAGTAGCTTACTCCCTTACTTGATCAAGTAGGGAGGCGGGCCTCGGGCTTTAAAACAACATGTTATATCAATTAAATTTCCCCAGAATAGTCCTTTTATTTATGGTGAACCAAAAAAATAGATCAAAATAGCATGTCGCATGCCCTTGCACCCTAGAGGCCCTAGAAGCCAATGCAGTCCAAAGTGCTGTGGTGTTCGGCACTGTCTTAACCTGAAACCAAATGCATCAATTCCAGCAGGTCCTCACATACATACTCTATTTACATACTGCCTGGCATTGCCACTTCGAGAGGATTCTACGGGCTGGACACAATCTTCAACGTGCTCAGCTTTTATTGTAGGTCAAACATTGTGAAACCATGAAAATGCAGCAAGTGCAAATGAGCGTCGTAGTTCAATGCGCAGCCCCTGTAGAGGCCACGAACAACGCCTTCCTCTGGCACGGCAGGAATGTATCCAACATCGACTCTGCAAAGCGACTCTGCAAAGACCATTGTTACTACTAGTAAGGCACTTGTTACTAGTAGCGTGGCACTTGTTACTAGTAGTAACTCTGCAAAGACTCTGCGAATCTGGAAGAGGCTTTTTGGAGTTTCCCAGGAGACCACTGGACACCATCATCAATCAGGCTACGAAGCGGCTACTAAGCTGCTATCAAACTCAGAATCACGGTGAACCACCCAAAAATGCTTTCATGATCCGATTGCAGTTAGACTGTTAAACCATGCTGTCATGCCTCTTGGTAAAGCCGCCAAAGGCCTCTTATGCTGCCGGGATATTTCTCCTTGACACGAGCTTGAAAAAGAGCTTTAAGGCAATTTCAATCCACGAAAGGTGACGATAGCTCACTCCGAGACTCACTCCTCTTCTGAAATACAAACGATCCAACGCAAAGCAGCAAAGCACCTAATCGACAACGACGCGCGCAGCGTCGCGGCGTCTGTCCAGCATCGCAGGGCCACCGGTCTGAAGCCGCCTTCGCCTCATGAGGGTAGAGCAAACTATGACCATATTAGACCTTTCTTCCATTGCGTCCTTGCTCCTAGTAGCGATGCCAGGAACCCCTAATAGCGTCCTGTTCCTAGCAGTAAGGCCAGGAGCCTGTAGTAGCTTCTTGCTCCTAGCATCTCCTAACTATTAGATTAGACCTTTCTCCCTTTTCTTCTTTCTTTGTTTCCAACAACGATGGCCTCCATCCTAATAGCGGCTCATGAAAAAGGTGAGATGGACATGTCATGCCTGCATATACCTGCCCCATAGTCCCTACAATGTTCCGCCATGTTTATAGCTCCACGGCATCGAGCTCTGGTGGGGGTAGGCAGTCAGCTCCAGGCCTCCATTTGTGTTACACCATCTCATACGTACCATCTATATATCTCCTTAGAAAAGGCCTACAACACCCACATCATCCTACATCCACCTAAGTACCGAGATTGAGAGATCCCACCCACATGGAATCTTGCATTCTGACTGGCACTTGCTGCCAATATTTGGCTGGGCATCCCTAACAGCACGTCAAACGGATACACAAAGGTCTGCGCCTGGGCCCGTCTCACACGCGTACAATGTTCCCCAGTCACACGACCATGTGAGCGCATGGGCTTTCAAGGTCCTTCCGAAGAAGGCAAAGCAAAAAAAGGCGAGAGCATAGGATGCTGTGGTAACAGTGTGTCTAGCCGAATCGCGATCCGCATGGAATGCACAAAGACTGGATGGCAGAGCGCACGGGACGGCCGTCAGGAGGACTGTGGTTTCTCACCTTCCTAGCCCGAATTCGTGAGCTCCGCCACTCTTCAATGCTGAGCCCTACACTTACACCCTACCTAAGACAATGCCTGTGACAAAACCATCTAGGACTTCTCAGTAGTGTGAGAGTGCATGATCGATGACATTCTCTTCACTTCGGTCGCTCCGAAAATGAGAAAACCAAAGTGCCCGGCCAGGACGCCAGCAAGGCCACCGCTCATGGCGCGATGGAAAGGGCTTGGAGGTCCTTCCTCATATGGTGCCGAACCCGAACAAACTTTCTGTGTTTCGTCGTATTTCCAGGTTACACGGTTACACATGCTTACACGACCTTACACAGCTCGTGTTGGCAATACCACGTCGAAGGATGTCGAAGAGGTGTGGGTTTCGGACCAATGTACAAGGCATCCTTGCAGGTCTGTCTGACTCCGTCCCTACCTTCCCTTGATACGGAATCATATCAATTGAGGGGAACCCTCCTTGGCCTGAAACTGAGCTTGCGACAGGATCTGGCAGCAAATATTTCTGGCACAACTCCTTCACTGTAATGTCATGTGAAACACATGATCTGCAAAGAGAAGCTCTTGGATCTGTCTCTCCTTCGAAGCATCGTAGCTTGCAAATTTCAAGCCACAATAGATGGCTGCACCCGTCATCGAGACCTGAATCTGGGATGAGAGGATGCCCAACCACATGTCACATCAAGCCGGCAACCAAACAACAAATGGCATGGACAAATGGACAGGTTGCAATGGGTAGGATGCGCTCGCTCTCTTAATTTTTCTGTTCTCTTCTTGACACTTCTCAACCATCAAATGCACACGATCAACTATCTACTCTGATGCTTCTGCAAGGAGGCAACCTGCCGGTTCAAGAAGCTGCCTTGCATTGCTGGGATCCGAACACCAGCACCAGAGTAGAGAGCCCGAACCCCTCCCTGCAAGCTCAAAAAGGACTGAAAGCCATGTTTGTTCTATAGGGCACCAAAGATGCGTCTGGACATCTAGCGGTTGAATCAGATTGCAGGATTTGGTCTGTGTTTGGCAGCTTCTTGATCTGTGTTTCAAAACGCAGTAAAATGCAAGTTGAGCCATTTGTCACTGTCGTTGTGTTTCACTTGAGCCTTTGCAGCTCCGCTTTGACCATGCCTGGCGCCAGACCTCCCGGACAGTGCCAGCCATGGACCTTGCTAGGTGCAAGACCGAACATGGTGAAGGTGTTTCTTTAAACATCGCTAATTAGTAGGTTCGAGGCCATCGCTACTAGGGTGGAGGCCGCCGCTTCTAGGGCGGAGGCCATCGCTAGTAGGTTGGAGGCCATCGCTACTAGAGGCCATCGCTAGTAGGTTGGAGGCCATCGCTATAGTAGGTTGGAGGCCATCGTTATTAGGGTGGAGGCCGTCGCTACTATGGCGGAGGCCATCGCTAGTAGGTTGGAGGCCAATTAGGTTGGACCTCCATCGCTACTAGGGTGGAGGCCATCGCTACTAGGGTGGAGACCATCGCTACGTTGGAGGCCATCGCTATTCGGTTCGAGGCCATCGCTATTCGGTTCGAGGCCATCGCTACTATAGGCCATTGCTAGTAGGGTGGAGGCCATCGCTACTAGGGTGAAGGTCATCGTTATTAGGTAGGAGGCCATCGCTACTAGGGTGGAGCCCATCGCTACTGGGGTGGAGGCCGTCGCTACTAGGGTGGAGGTCATCGCTACTAGGGTGGAGGCCATCGCTAGTAGGTTGGAGGCCATCACAATTATATAAGTTCCCATTGCTATTAGGTGTTGTTTTAAGATCCTCAGAAAGTTGCCTTCGCAGAATCTGTTCATTTTCAGTCTTCTACTTTCGTCCTGCGCTGTTCCTTTCTATGTGGTTCTGTCTTTAGACGTTAACTGTTTCTTTTTTGTTAATCATTGTGTTATTTGTTTTTCTCTATTTTTGTTCTTGCTTTCATGATTTCCATGAGAAAGTGGCCTTGTAGGAATACTTTGTTGTCACTATGTATCTATGTATCTATGTATGTATGTATGTATGTATGTATGTATGTATGTATGGTACTGTACTGTACTGTCATTTATGTAATGTAATGTATGCATGCCTGCATGTCCGCGTGCACGCATGTATGCATGTACACATGTATGTGTGTATGCATATATATATATGCTATATAGTGTGTGTTGTGTTTTATTGTAATGTAGTGTACGGACCGCATCACGGACCGAAGGTCTGCCATGATCCCCCATCTCGAAAGCATGATTCGCAAGCTGACCATGAAGTGCGACATGGCCCTTGAGTCAATCGAGAAGACATGGACGTTTTGTCTAGTTCTGATCTTTTCATCCCTGCTTGGGCGAACACGGCATCTCTTGGGCACCTTGTTCCATAAGCAGTGCCTCATGCACAGGTGGGCGGCACTCTGAAAAGTAAGTAGCCGTACCCAAGCCTAAGACATCCTTTGTCAATGGTCCCCCAAACCTGTGCTTAATGTTCAAGGTCACAAACGTTGCCGACATTTGTCCATCTGCGCGCCCCAGCCATGCGCGCACGGGCCAAATCCAAGGGATATGTGCAAAGCACAGCCGTCAAACCGGCTCCTCCTGAGTCGTCACAATTTGACAGCTTTTGTTCCTAGTAGGAAGGCCAGGAGCTACTAGTAGTGAAGGAAAACACAGTGACCATGCTTGCCATCCTAAAAGTCCCTCACAATCGGCTCCTCCAGCGAAAAACTTTTGCACCTCGACAAAGGAACAGCACTTCAAATGCAGAGCACCCCCAAGGTTCAGTGTCTTCAAATTGTTCATACCTGAATTACATTGAACTACTAATATACACAATATTCACTAGCATAGACCCCAAACAGTCTCATTAGCAAGCATCGCGGTGGTGGATGCCAAATACGTTCATATCAATGAAACGGTTGGAACGACAGCCAGAACCTTAAGGGCAAAGCATGGACAACTGGAAAAAAAAACGAAGCATGAACATGTGCGAACATAGAAGGACACTCTCCGGCTACAGACTGTCATGAGACTATTTTCTGAAGATAGAACCCCACAGTCGACTGCGTGGAAGGAAACACAACGTGCAGCTGTGAGGCTGAAACGATCAGAACGGCATTTTCGATCAAACAGCAAATTCCAAACTCGTTTGAAGAAACTCGACAAACGCACGACCTGGCCTCTGGGGTGACAGCAACTGGACCTTCCACAGGGAAAATGAATGCAATGTCAGAGCATTGACGGGTTACGACTGTGGCACCTAATAGCTGGAAACAATTGCACTCAGAAAGTAAACCTGCCTTTGGCCAGTGTTTTTAATTGTCGACGGAAAAACCTGGCGTAAATCAGAATCAACAAAAATGTACAAAAACAACTGCTCTGATCAAAGCTTGCAGAGCTTTTTCACAAAACCTGCCAGGAGGTCTCGTTCGAGGCCAGTTGAACTCCAAGATAAGGAAAAACCTCAGCTGAACTCACGCGACAACAATAATTTTTAGACTTTAGATCTTTCTTCTTCCCGTCCTTCTTTTATTCCTTCTTTTCATTGTATGATTTATATGCTGTGTAATACAAGATAGTATAAGGATGTGTTGTCTCTCTCCGGTGTGTGCGCATATACTATATGTATATATATCGTCATATATTATACGCTACAATGTACCATGTGATTCAACGACTGGCATGATCCTGGACCCTCACAGCAGCGTGTTGTCTTTATTGCTCAGTTTCGGCGTCTAGGCTCCTAGTAGCGTCCTTGCTCCCAGTAGTAAGGCCAGGAGTTAGTACTGCCGTTCTTTGTTCTTAGTAGCGATGCCCTTTGCTCCTAGTAGCGTCCTTTGTTCCTACCTAAAGAATTAAAGAGGCTTTATCCTTTAACATCCTTTAACTGCGAAACGACAACCGCTGTCTCTCTCGGAACTCCCGCACGGAGCACCGCCACCGAATTGCCTTTCCAAAAGGCTGTGACCTTTTGAAGGCCTCGTCTTCGCCAGTTGTTGTCACTCTGGTCAGTGAACATGCCACGTACTGTATACATCATACTTGTAATTATTTGCATGACAAGTCAAGCTGCTTCTCTCTGCAAGAGACAACAAGAATTCAAATCCAGAGCACTCATGGACCGGATGAGAATCGAGTAATGATGCCAAACGCTGCAATCTGTTTTGCAAAAACTTACAAATCACACAAGAAGCAGCATCTTCCCTACTGTTCATTGAATGCGAACAATCCAAGTGCGCTCCAAGGAATAAGGAGCAACATAAGTAGCCAAAGCAGAATTGAGGTTTCTTAGCCATTCAGCAGCTATGTATTGCAAAGCTTTACTACCCGATTTGAAGGTATCTGTCAAACGACGACAGCGCCTCCACCACTCTCGTCCATCACTTTGGTGATGATCCGCAGCCAGCCGTGATCACGGCCCTGACAAGAACACGGCGACGGTGCAGTTTTGACAACGACCACACAAACTGCTAGCATCCTTGCTCCTAGTAGCGATGCACTTGTTTCTACTAGCTTCTTGTTACTACTAGTAAGGCACTTGTTACTAGTAGCGATGCACTTGTTCCTAGTAGCATCCTTGCTCCTAGTAGCGATGCCAGGAGCCCCTAGTAGCTTCTTGTTCCTAGTAGTAAGGCCAGGAGCCCCTAGTAGCATCCTTGCTCCTAGTTGCAAAAACAAGCCAGGCAAACGCTGTTTTTGGAATTGATCTGGTAAATGATTTTGATCTTGGTCGCCCAGGAGATGTTAAGATCGGTTCGAAGGCAAATCTAAGGCATGTCTTCTACAAACATCACTTACCATTAATGCTTGCTCTGTTGATCAGCGTTGAACTCTCTGCCCCAAACTCTCTCCACTGGCGCAATCACCGTCCTTGCAACCTGTGCGGTGCATTGCGGTGCAAACTTTCTTTGTCCGTTTAGATCCCACGAGACGAAAAAGTTGTGCCTCTGAAATTCAATAGACACTTCACAGGAACACAAAAGAAACATATTTGGGGACAAAAGAGAATATACATTGATAGAATCGTTTGTAATTAGGCAGTTCTTCGGACGAATCAACTTCAAGTTTGCAGACACGTCTTGTGGAGTCTAAGCGGACTTGTTTGGAGTCGGACTTGTTCAGTTCATTCTGCCAAGTGACGTGGAGATGTCAGATGTGAAGATAGGCTTCAAATAAAGTTCACACTATGGCTTCGACCAACCCTCCCCCATGCTCTTCCAGACATTTCCCGATTCCTCCTGCCCCGCTTCGCTGGGCGCCGGGGCCATCCCAGCGATCCCACCGCAAACGAAGTGCTCCGAGGCTTTCCGCCACTCGGATGACATGGTGTGAACTCCGTGGCGCAAATGGCCCAACTTTGGCACCAAGTCGAGAGAACAGCGAAGCAACTTGGAAACCACTGCATGTTCTTTCGAGGCGCAAGTTTTGGGCAATTGTATGTAGTTTGTTTTTGAAGTCCTTTCAATGTTCCCTTTCTCCTGAGAGTTTTGATGAAGTGCATGCCACAATCTACTGGTAGGTTGCGCATGGTTGCACAGGACCTGCACATCGCAAAACCAGCATACACATATCGTGTAACCCCCTTATGAATTTCATGCCACAGAACTACTTGGTGAATTAAAAAATGTGTCACTATGCATTGTGACTTCTGCCTCTTGCCATTATCACCTTGAAGCGACTCACAGCTGTTTCACGCACAAAGAGGCCCACCACCAACCCTTCAGCTTTCCACTATGCACATGTCCGGTAGTCCATTGCAAGCCAAACTGATTATAGTTCAGAAATGACTATACACCTAGTCGCGCCCAAGTGAAGCCTGTCAGTACTTGTTGTCATTAACAGTGTCCTGCTTTGCGAATTCTAAGAGCATCCGTCCAAGCTGACACTGCAACTTTTTCGGCCAGCAAAGGTGCAGCTACAATCCTGGGACACTCACGGCAAGGCCCTTGTGCCCGACTGTCAAACAACAAAAGACCGAAAAAAAGGGACCCAACTCAAGGCATCTCAACTTGAGACATTGAACAAATTCAAACTATTCTGAAACAAAATGACCGAGAGTCCTTCTTCTGCAGACCGATGCCTTCGCTGAAACGATCGTCCTCCACGGCCTTCGCCGAAGTACCGGCTAGAGTGGGAATAATACTGTCCCAGTGGTCTCAAACGAAACCGTAGGGGGAAGCCAATGCAGGGTCTCTTGATCACCAAGACAATTATTTGGATACAGTAATTGAACATCAATGAATATCATAATATTGTTGACATCTAAGTCAATCTACCTCTTTTGCATCCTTTACTCTTTACATCTCTTTACAATTCTTTACATATCTTTGCATCCGTTTGTGTGCCTTCTGTCTTGAAGTCGTAGCCCAAGACCTGAAGGCGCCACAAACGACAAGCTACGTTGTGCACCAGTGACCACTCCCCCTTAGTCTGGCGACCAACAGATGTCAATGGCCAGAAGTGCTACTAGCTCATCTCGAGTAACTACCTTTTAAGGGTCTATTCATTCAAACTTTGGACGTCCCGTATCGATTTACAGTTCGCCAGAACACCGTGGGTGTCGTTTTGCGATCGCGCATCCAAGGACACAATTGCATGCAACACGCGGAGTACTGTCACAAAAGTCCGGACTACTCAGAATCAGAGTCTTGGAACCAAATGAAACACCCGTCTCTAATAGAGTGAAGTAGTAAAGGACGATACTTTTCAAAACGACTCACATGCTGTACACCTCCATCCACATCTGCCGGGAGGCTGGCGGCACCCGCGGAAGAAAGCTGAAAACCAAGCGAACCACTGGGTGACCAACCTGTCGTGCAACAGTTGCTGATATTATTCCAAGTGCTTCAATTCTTTATTCCATATTGTCTTGTCTTTATGCTTCTTTTTCAGACGTTCTTAGGATGGAGGCCATCGCTCTTAGAATGGAGGCCATTGCTTTTAGGTTGGAAGCGATTGCTATTAGGTTTCTTAACATGGTCAATCTTCTTTAGACATTTAGACCGCTCTTTCTTCCAGACTTTGAGTGCGTCTTTGTCACTGGCATTCATCATCCACTCCAAAATGCACTTTGCATTGAAATTGAAGCTCACAAATCTTCGGCACAGCCATTCACAAAGAACATTTATCAATACATTGTTAGGAACTGTTAGGCTAGTTGAACCACAAATGGCTAGTCGCTCCAATTCACAACTCATTGCGGATTCCAACGCCTTCAAAGAGATCGCTGGCCCATGTTGACGTTTGACCAAAAGGGCCAGCCAGTTGAGAGCAGCACCAACGTCGTCTGGCCCAGTGATTGCTCGATCGTGAGACAGCAAAGCGATCAGGACCAGCATTTGGCGGCGACATGTCCAAAGCAAATTTGGAATATGTGCAACGATTCGCCTCCTGCGTCACATGGTCACACAAAACCGCATGCAGTCAACTTCCAAAATGACTCTCGATAGAACATTCAAACGGACACAAAGAAGCATTCGCACTGCTGCTAGTTCTCCATGCAAGCAACCTTCCAGGAGGTCGGTGATCGTCAACGGCGAAGTCTGCCCCAAATTCCAGGGCTCGAGACAGAATCGTCACAGTATCTGGATGTTCCAGGCAACCAGCATGGCCAAGCAAATCCACCAGAGAGTGAAAGTTTGTTAATTTTCCCTTCCTCGGATCACGCGAGCATGTCATTGAACTCGACTCCCAACAGGAGTCCTTGCCTTCCACCGTTCACATTGAATGAACAAGTATGAACACTGGCCACTCGGCAGAAGTGGTGCTCAATACTGCCGAGCTTCTCGTAGATTCCCCACGGTGGTGAGTAGTTCCAGGCAATAGCATCCCACTTAGCACCAAATTCTTCCGCAGTGGAAATATACTGACGTGCGATTGAAAGCCCCACCTCGATATCGGACCAACCATAATTTTCTTGGCATTCTTCTTTTATGTAAGGATATGGATATGTTTGGAACACGAAGGAATCAACCAAGAGGATTTGTAAACAACGGCAAAGCCGGACATAACAACGGCAAAGCCGGACATCGTCTGTCCACACCATCTTGTGCCAAAGCTGAGTCTGCCAGTGTTGCTGAGCTGCCAAACCTGCTTCTGCCAATGCTCTCAGCATATAGTAGAACGTGGTTTCCTGAATCTCACAAAGCTCTTCCGCAAAGTGCAAGGAGCTCTCTGTTTCTCTCTCTATGGGAAAACACAAAAAGTTACCAAAGGAACTATAACGAGCTTCACAGGCGTCACCTTTCTCTCGCACTTCCGACCCGTTCCAAAGATTGTGAGAATCCTCTCATCGAACATGCCGTGAAACATGACACCAAGGAATATCTTGAAGTGCACAAATGTGCGCAGTGAGAGTGCTAGCTCCTGTTGACACTCCAGGATGCCTCGAACTACTTTCCTTGGTTCTGTCCGCTTCGAAAACACGGAAGCATTTGCTGAGTGGCTGGTCGACTAGTTCGCACAGTCTTGCCATAGCTATGAGGTTGTTTACAACATTGGACACATCTTCACAGGTTATTGCTGAGCTTCAAATTGTCTTCAATGGAGCGTTTCCCGCAAAGTTCCCGTCGCCTTCGCAAAAGCAGCCAGATTGGCTGAAGCTTAAAGCACAGAGTGGGCAGGGTCCCAAAACCGACTTGTCCAAGTGTCAACAAAGGTGTGGTCACAGGTCCTGGGGTGGGGTGTGGACAAAGTCTTTGGTGTAGTAGGCGTGAGGCGTGCTGGAAACAAAGGAGCTTGGAACAATTGGAAAAAAAACAGCCTTGAAGTTCAAGCTGTAAGACCAAAGGATAAATATGATAAATGAACTATTGATTCGTATGTATATATTGTCATTGAGTGTGGCTTCCATAAAGACAAGCGAGTGACCAGTGACGCACTGGGAGGAGCCAATACTTGGCATTGGTGGACTACTTCGCTGGCTGAAGAGTGCCTGTGCTGTAAAGCGCACTCCAAGAGCTCCAGGAATGATGTTTGATTCCATCCATCTCCTCGACAAGGTAAGCCGATGTTCACCCTATGGAGAAACAAAACAAAATCATACAAAATCAAACATGCACCAAAAAGAATCCGTTGGGATCCTGCGCTCTCAGGGGTGTTTGTTCCACAAGACTTGCTCATCATAAGAGTGCTCAACATGTTTCATTTCAACACGGCCGACAGCGAGGGATGGGATGTCTGACCACATGGCTGACAGGTATCGAATATCCCAACGCGCCCCTCTGGCATAGCAAAACTCAAGGAGGGCCTGCCCATCAGGTGTACCAAGAAGATCCTCGGCCGAACGGTCCTCTTCAAGGTGAACCACAAATTATCTTTGAAAACATCTACTGTACTGTGAGAAACAGGTCTTCATGTCACCCGAGATAGACTGACCAACCAACCGGGCGGCCCTGGTCAAACATTGGCCATTGGATCAAGACCCGAAACTTTGACACACACATTTCGGTTGAGGTGAGCGTCATGACGCATCGCAATTTGGACCACATTGGAGAACATGGTGCCACCGCCTTCAAATAACAGAGTCATGACCTGCAGGTTCGGGACTGCAGTTTTCAGCAGTATCAGAATCCCCTCGATGCCATGCACTGCGTGACATCAGGTTCGCCAAAAGGTGAACTCTCGTCTCTGGCTGTGCGACTAAAACGCCGCTGTGCGACGGCAAGATTTTCTCTCAATTGAAGTTTCCATGTTTGGAATTCTCCATTGGTTCAACAGGCTTTTGATGTGACTGTCGGCCTCTAGTTGCGTCTTTGGGCATCGGCTGTGGCCAACAAGCTTTCTCTTGAACATGTCCGAGTTTCCTGCTGTTCGCTGTTGACTTTGTTTGAACTTCGTTGAAGGACATCTCTCGGTGACGAACCCTGGGTAAGTGCAGAAACAACAAGAACCACAACAAAACTCGATGATCAGTTTGGGTAGCTTAGGTTGGGTCGACCATGGTCGTCAACCCTTCATGACCTCATTTTGATGCCAGGATACCGGTTGGTGAATGCCCCAATTGTTCAATGACCTTAGTAAAACACATCACAAAATCGTGACACTTCCCGGTTCTTACAACCTTGATCAATGCTTGTAAAACACATAATATGGTTGAATCAGGGCTGCCCTTAAACATCTCATACAAATTCATTCTTTGTCAACATTTTTTGGTTGAGCCGCTTGCGAAAACCAGCTCCTGTGCACCGAACATCTCCTGATTCAAAAAACTGTTCAATAAAGGCTCACTTCCCTCACCACTGAAACCCTCACCGCTCAAAAAACGGTTTCGCACAACGATGATAGAGCGGGTGAGGGATCAAACATTAAGAAATGCATCAAACACCTACATATACCCAGTGAGCAACGAAAATAACAACTGGGGGGAAAGGACAGCAGCAGGGTGACAAAAGGACAAGGCAGCCCCCCCGCACAGCAAACCAAAACACAAGCTCCAATCACAAAGAAAACAAAACAGAACGAATAAATAAACACCTAAGAAATATGGGTACAAAAAGGAAGCTCCAACAAGCGATGTGAGAGTCTCCAGCACTCCGCACAGACGCCCTGATAAGACCCACTTCATGCGAACGATTCCTTTCAAATGCTCGAAGATGCATCTGCGGTGCTTTGCTCTGTCAAGGGTCTTATCGCCAGAGCCCGCTTTTGGGAGGCTTCCATTTTTGTCTGAGATGACCATCAACCAAAGCGCGAAAGGGTTTCTTTCTATCTATCCATCCATCCATCCTGTCTGTCTCTGTCTCTGTCTCTGTCTCTGTCTCTGTCCCTGTCTCTGTCTCTGTCTGTCTGTGTCTGTCTGAGTCTGTATCTGTCTACCTATCCGTCTATCTACCTATCATCTGTCTATCTATCCATCTATCTACCTACCTACCTACTTACCTACCTACCTATCCACTACTCCTCTCTCTCTCTCTATCCCCCTATCTCTCCAAATCTCGATCTCGTTATCTCTTTAACCCACATCTACTCATATAACAATCTCTCTGTGTCTCTATCTCTCTTGTCTCTCAAGCTCTCTATCTCTCTGCCTCGCTATCTCTCTGACTCTCTCTCTCTCTCTCCTTTCTTCCATCCATCCACCCATCCATGCAGCTAGCCATGTTGATCAACTGTTTGATGGCTTGCATATTCGCACTTTGAGAACACTTGTAGTTCGGTGGATCACGAAGGCAGCAGAATCGAAACATATTGACACTTTCTGCATTTTTTCCCGTGCACGATATGGCCTCCACCCCCCCTACCCGCTTACTCCTCACTTCGTGTGCCAAATTCGCAAATATATTATGATTTTCGCATGTCTCGCTTTTTGACCAGGAAAAGGACCAGGAGACCAAAGGACCAGGGACCAATGGACTATAGGGCGTAGGGGTCCTACTCCGGATTGTTATTGTTGATCCGGTATATTTTTTGGGTTGATCCAGTTCTTGTTTTGTTCGATCCTGTTCCTTTTGATCTACATGCCCAGGAGGGCGGGCTTATTGTGAATAAACCCAATGGTATATTAATCTTGGACAACTTCACTCCTTCAACAGCTGGGAGCAAAGTTCGGGCATGTTCAGGCAACTCCCTGGCAGGTTCGGGCAACGTTGCTTGCTAAAGGAAAACACAATGCTTCAACGTGTGACCAAGGACCGCTCCAAGAGCTGCATCGATGCGGGCTGGACCAGAATACCAGCTCCACACAGCAAATCTAGCAAGAACAAAAACCTTGGAAGGATACATTTCGTGAAACAATGTGACTTGGAAGCTTTTGAAAACCGTTGAACATGAAGCAACACGAATGAGCTTTCAATATTGGTTCGTCGTTTGTTGCTAGTCTGCTGCGGCCCATAAGCAGTGCAAGCAGGTTTTGAAAAATTGGTTTCGACAAATCCACCGTCCCTGATTGATCTTAGGCGCACCCATTCATCTGAAAAGGATATTTGTGAGCCATGAGGGCATCGACGCCATCGAGCTCCAGTGGAAATTGCCAAGTCAATGAGTTCGTCAGCAGAATTAGTTCCAAGAATCTTCAGCTCGATCAGCAATTGCCTTGGTATCCGTGTCGAGTCAACTTTCTGGCAATCATGAACACATCATCTTGCAAACTCCGGGAGGAGCGAATTGTTTCGGGGCGAAGCGTGGCAAATAAAGGTCTTCCCGACGAAAACAAAGGAAACACGTCTGAAAAGACAGGCTGCAGCAGAAGCCGAAACGGATCCATCGATCCGTTGATGCCCGTCCTTGTAAACAGCAGGGTTTGCCTAAAAATCAATTCAAAGCACATGATATGCAGCCATGTCTCGTGCGTGAACAGCTTGACCAATCAGCTCCAGCTTCCTTTGGCGAACACTTTTAACAAGTTGAAGGTAACAAAACCATCGCTACTAGGAACAAGAAGCTACTAGGGGCTCCTGGCCTTATATACTAGGAACAAGGACGCTACTAGTAGCTCCTATGTCACGAGGAACGAAACCCGGAACACTTCGTCTCATTGCACGGCAATCACTCTGTTGTGTCAAGCATTGCACGCCAATCACTCCCACAAACAAATAGAAGACTCTTGTGGGCCTTTAGGAATGCTGAGCTTCAGCAGCTTTGTAGATGGCATGTTTCTCATCTTGTCCCAAAACGCCATTGTTGCGCAAGCTTTGCAGCAACAAACTGAACGGAGTCTCGGTTTCTCCTCAGCGGCGATGAGAGCGGCAAGGCTCGAGCGTTGGGTGTTCAGCGAAAAATGCTATCAATGGAAGACCCGCTTCGAGCAAGGAAACCAAGTGGGACTGTGGACGTTGATCGACTATATATTCAATACACAATTGCAAACGTTAATATATATTATTATGTTTTTCAATGCAAATTAAGGTTCCCCCCCTAAGGATGCTATTGTGGATGTGGGTCTTGCACGCATTTCTTGTGCGAGGGATATAGCTAGGTTGACCCCCTACTATCAGGAATGCAGAACAAGCTGGCCAAATCCCGGCTCAGTCTTATAACGACTTTGTGGGGACTTGACACACTCACAATGAAATTTAACGAGAATGGAATGGTGAAGTGCCATCTGTGACGAGGAGACGTGCTACATGCACATCTATGAATCTATGCGGCCATCGCTAGTAGGTTGCAGGCCTACACGGCTGGACGTCCAGCCTTGGGAGTTTTAGGAGCTGTGGACTCTCCCCACCTCGTCGATCTTGGGCTTGAGGGGCGTTGAGATCCTGCCGGATGGCATTTCAGGAAGTATTTGAAAGAATTATCCAATCATCTGTTGTTTCTTTTGTCTTTTGTAGACATGTTTTTCCTTTCCCTCCTTTCTGTCATTTTATTTAGTCTATATATCATATATCTTGTTTCCTTTTCTTTCCTTTTCACTCTTGCTCACTTTACAACTTTTAACATGCAACCAGTTATTTCATTCTGCATACAGCTGGATACAATGTGGTCCTTCACTGCCGCTGTCTCTAACAGCTCAGTGAACCTTTTGATGTCTCCTCAAACGGATGGATTCGCATGAACAAAGGATTGAATCGGAAAAAACACACGTCAAGCGAGCACTGCGACTAGTTGCCCTATTCTGAGAGAGTAACAGAAGCAGAATATGAAGACGCATGACGACGAATGTATAGTGTGTGAAACGAACATGCGAACTGATATGAACTGATTAGCCTACGTAGATTGTCTAGTAATCATGGATGCGGCTGCATGCGGTGCATCACCACCACATTATTTATTACATGACCTGTGCAAACCGGGCATGGTCGTCAGCCACCTGCATGTTCTATGTGGCAAACAATGTTTGTTGAAGACACATAAGAAAAAACACCCTAAATGTCGCCCTCCAAGGTTTTGGGCAATCCTGCCAGCACAAAGGCAAGAAACAATCTCCTTGCTCTGCAGCTTTAGCAAGCACGCAAACATCTTCCTTAGAATCAATAAATGATATCAGGAACAAGAAGCTACTAGGGCTCCTGGCATCGCTACTAGGAGCAAGGACGCTACTAGGGGCTTCTGGCCGTACTACTAGGAGCTGCTACCAGGTTTGAATGACAAAGTGCAACTCCTCTTGTGCTCCAGACTTCTTGGAGCCAATCATGATAGTAGCTACTTGCTCCTAGTAGCGATGCACTTGTTTCTACTAGCTTCTTGTTACTACTAGTAAGGCACTTGTTACTAGTAGCGATGGCCTCCAACCTAAGAGCGATGGCCTCTGGTGTTCCGAATTCTCTTAAACAAGTCGAACAAACGGTTTTAAAGTTTAAACACATGTAGGCTCCTAGTAGCGTCCTTGCTCCTAGGGTCCTAGTAGCGATGCCCTTTGCTCCTAGTAGCATCCTTGCTACTAGGCCATCAGTTCAAATGCTCGTCAAGGATTGTCAAGCAATTTCTTGCTGCAGGCCAAGCTTCAACAGGATCCGGCAGGGCTTCATCTAACCCTGCTGGTTCTCCAGCAAAAAGCATTTGAAGAGAGGAAAAAGGCACAGGGCATCTCGGGCTTTGTTGGTCGCTCCTCGATGCAACTGCGCCTGCACTACAAACAATAAATACCTATTTTAGGGTATTGGAAACAATTGTGTCCAAAACATTTCTTCCTAGAAACAACTAATTCTGCTTCTTTCCTCGTTCCTTGTTCTTTTCTCGAGACCTCTAGACCTGTCCTTTTCGTTCTCACTTTGGTTGGAACAAGGCCTGTATTGGTCTCGACATCATGCTTGCTTGAGAACAATTCATGAGAGTGGATGCGCGAGTCACAAGCACTTGGTACACTTGTAATGTTGCAAGTGCTACCATGCACTGAAGAAGGTATGCCAAACTGCCTTGTCTGCCTTCTTTCATCCCGTGCTTTTTGTGTTTGTTGTTCTTCAATATGAGTGTCTGCCAAAACGTCTTGTAATGAAGAGAACATGATTCAACAAGGATATCGCTTTTGATGGGAGTGTATTGCTTTTTCAGACCCCAGCCACTCTTTCAACATAGCTGCACATATCCAAAAACTGCTGCCCTGGTTATCGTTTTTGAGGGGCCAATCGCTTGTACTGGTTTTGGCCACATTCTTGAAATTCACGATCGCTCTTTCCTAGATTGGTCATCGCACGTTTTGGCGGTTGCGCAGTTAGGGTGTCGCAAATGCACACTGAGCGCAACTCTTTTCTCCGCCATCAAACTGTACCACACAGTAGGAATAGTTGTCCAAACCGGCGCGTTCCAAGCCGAAGATGTCCGTTGTGAGGGGGAACTCATGGTCGGGTGACGAAGATGTCCGTTATGAGGTCATTAACGAAGAAGTCCTCATGGTTTCTCTGAAGGAAGCCTTTGGACAAATTTCTGGGAATGGAAAGTGAGTCGTCCCAGCAAGTGTGACTGTAAACATCTGTAAACATCCACCTCAGCCAAAGAATTTCTGATCTAAGGCTGCGAAGTGGAGATCCAGCAGCTTTCCGTACTCCTCGCGTCAACAAAGATTTACAGCAACACTCCATGCTCAGTTGACAGCATGCTGATGCATGCTGCATGCCACACCCTTCGACACTTTCCGCTCCTCCCAGTTCACAGTTCCTCGGAAGAAATTGCAAGACAAGTTTGCCTCCAGCAAAACCTCGGGACAACGCTGCCACATGCTAAAATAATCTAAAATAGCTTGAACAGTCTAATGTCTAAGCCATACTTCATCTTCGGAAGAAAGCCCACCACAATTGAACCACACAGTCTTCTTTCTTCCCTTCTTCCCTTTGGCTCCATGCCAACTTCGCCGGAGCCTTCGGATCCTCCTGAATGATCGCATTCATCATATGAGTAACTTGCATGATTTTGCAATGGCAATGATCAAATTAAACAATATGAACCCAAACCGAGGTGGGAAAAGCGATGTCGAATGCAGTTCAGTATCTCGAACAATTTGTTCTCGATTTGAAGCGCTACAACTCAGCAACCTCCAAGTCTAATTCTTATTGGCAGCTGTAGGAGCGAGCAAGAAACCCTGACGTGGATTCGTGCAACTACCCTCATAATGTCAATGAATGGCAACCGCAGCTTGTCACTGGGCGGTCCATCACAAGTCTTCGCTCCCGAAGTGAGCCAACAGCACCACAAAAGACTTGGCGTGTCTCGAAGGGATTGTTTCTACGTGCGACGTGCAATCTCCATGAATCTCCTCGGCTACGAAGGCAACGTCCCAGCCGGCTAATGGAACCGAGGGAATGAGGATCTCGTGTGAGCGCCTCAGATTAAACCAGATTAAACCCACAGTCGGTCTCAAAATTTGTCACATGTTCAAAATAGACTGAGCTTGCACTAATCAATCGCAGGTTCCTCATTGAACCCTTCCAAATAAACAGCGGAGGCCTTGAGAAGCTCTTGACCGGAGGAGCATGGGTGTCCAAAAATGATCCAAAAATGTCCAAGGGAAAACCAAACTGGTTCACAGCGGAGACAAAAAGCAAAACCTGGAAGACCAATCAACATCAATCAACTCTACACCAAGTGGGGCACAACACCATGATCCTCTTGTGGCCCTTGCATCCCTCAAAAACAGAGGGTACGGTTTGATCATGTTTGATCTCCCCAATCATCCATCCGAAATCATCCCATCTCCAGCTCACACACCGCTTTCAGCCGCAGGGCTCACACAGTTCCAAGGCCTCTTTCACCTTCGGTAGTTTGCATCCACCTGCAGCACCGTGAGCGTCTGTTGAGCAAGCCAATGCACACAGCCCACACCCGCTTCAATGCCGTCAGAGCCACACAAAGAAAGCTCTGTATCTGGATGATGAGCAATGCCTCACATAGATTCGCCATAGCTAGAAATCTTGAACAAATGACTGTCTAAAGTTTGGTGGATAGGCTGGACAGGCTACAAGGAGTGAACACCTGTGTGAAATCAAATCATGGCTGCTTGATGCAGAAGTCTATGCATGCATCGTAAGCAAAGTCTGCAATCAACAGGAGACAAAGCGAAGTGGAAAATGTTCCCGGGCAAAAAGACCCCGATGAAATGTAGAAACATTGAAGATTGGCTCTTTGGCTACTAGGAACAAGTGCATCGCTACTAGTAACAAGAACATTACTACTAGTAGCTTCTTGCTACTCGTAGTAGTCCGAGTTGAATGAGTCGAAAGTTCCGAGTTGCTTCCATCTGCTGTGCTCAAGGGCTTTCCCAAAGACTTGAAGCCTTGCCTCGAGAAACGTCCCGACTCGGTCGACTGAGTTTGGCTAGTCCGCGTCCCTCAAGTCGTTGTCGATAAGAAAAAGGCTGCTCAATCCGTTGCATACATGTTGCATACTAATTATGTAATATTATGATGTATATATATGTTTATATTTATATCATTTTCTATCGGTATAGCACTCGAAAGCTGATTTCAAGTCACTGACGTGCTGCTTCCAAAAAGCACGCATAGCTTTCCCGCTTCCTTTGGGCTTCCATGCGCATACCAATGGGCAGAGCTGGAGCCTGTTCCAAGGGTCTGTTCACCCCGGGGTTGAGGGACATCCTCAGCACCATCTCGAAGCCAAGTTGGAGGTGCACGAGTTTCGTTTGCCTACATAGCCTTTCTCCGTACATCTTTAACCTTTGGCTTGCTGGCTTGCCACAAACATGCACGTGTCCAACCTCCAATGTAGATCATGTGACATCACTCTCACGAGTTGCACTGCATATTGCCGCGGTTGCACTGCCCTGAGGACGGACATCGTCACGCTGCACCTCCCTTGAGGTCCCCGACCACCATGACACAGCTGTGATCAGTCGAGGCCCCTGCACGGCCGGCGCGCCAAACCTGGCCGTCGAGAAAGTGAGTGCGACAAATGTTTAAAAAAAACATTCAGTAACAACAAAGAACGTGCTCACCTGGAGGATGGTTTTTGTTTCAAACCCGCCGACACCGCGGCACAAAGTGCATTGCAAAGCTTCTTTGTCTCTGCAGGGCGGCCTCAGCCCACGAGACGAAACATACCGTGTGTGGCTCCGCAAAAACATCCAGCATAAATACAGAGCACCGGTCTTGAGATCTTGTGGGTCTAAAGAAATAGAAGCTACTATAGGGGCTGGCCATACTACTAGGAGCAAGGACGCTACTAGGAACCGTCTTCTATTTGTTGTAATTGTCTCGAGGGCCGGTATGGTCCGATCGTGGCTATGACGGCTCCCTCATGCGTCGGGTTCAATCACGGGGTGCAACACTAGGCGGACAGGCGAGCCTGTATAATATCAATGTTGTAACTGTCTATGTGTTTCATTGTAGTGTCAATTTTAACTAACACTGTCACAAATCTATGAAAATATTATGTGAGGTTTGATGTTTGGGCCAACATGTGCAATCATTTTTTAACAGCCATACATCAACATACATAGTAAATCATAGTAACGACTCAAAATTGCTGTTGGCTGTTGACTTGTTGAAGTGCCCTTTACAACTTGCAGGATCCCAATATATAGTAATCGAAACTTGGTTCTGAAAACCCGAGCAGCCTCGGTCAGCTCACAAGGCGCACGAGATTGTAATGCCCAAGCTACTATTGTAGTCATCAGTCTTGACTTTCGAGGGGCCCAGTTCTTATTCGGCTTAGGTTTTGACCTCGATTGCCCCTTATATTAGTAATCTTAGTACAAGAATGCTTCCTGAATGGGTCTAGGATGGAGTTCAAGAATCACCATCGGTGCAGCATAGACGCCGAGCAGTGCCAAAGCTCCATACGAGCCTGTCACCTTGAACAAAACTAGGCGCCATCATGTAGTGTGAAGAACATTCACTCGGGCGCTTGTGCTGTTGTCTGTCGTTGCAAAGAGCCTACAGCCTGCAGCACCTTGCTTGTAAGCTTCAAACAACCCGCATCGTTGACAATGGACTGTCCTCGCAAGAAATTGACATGCTGGCGTCACATTGGCACGTTCAGTCTTCTGCTTGCACCTGCTAACCACTGACCGACTTTGGTATTGCAGTGTCAGAGAAAGTGATAGACTCTGTCAGTCGAGTGCACACATGTATCTATCAACGGCGATTCATCCATGCAGACTCTGCAGTTCTACAAGAATGATCTGTCTTTATCCTTTACCACAGCTCAACGCACCTTAGGAAGGAGCTGTTGCACGTCAGGGTGATTGTCCAACTTCTCCTGTACAGTAACAAGGCTGCGGGGGGCCGTCGCTAGTAGGTGGAGGCCATCGCTAGTGGAGCCCGTTGTTTTGACGTCTGCTAGCAAATCGGGCTGATGAAGCTGAATTCCCTGCAGAACAACATGGCAGAACTACAGCTACAGTACAGCCATGGTTTTCATGTGCAGTGATAGATAGTGACAGTGATAATCATATGTCTTGAGGGTCTCTTCTTGAACAACATAGATCCGATTGATCAATACTTGGTCTCTTCTTGATCGGACTACAAAACAAATAGTGAAACATTGCTTGGGGCGTCCTGCGAGACCTGGATTGCCCCTGAGGCTGCTGCGCAGAGAAACACCCGACGGCCCTGTTCCTTTTTGGAACGTGGATAACCGCACAGCACAATGTTTCGAGATGACCACTCTTTGGGAAAGCAGTAGGCACTAACTTTCCAAGACTTTGGCAGTCGTGGTTCAAACAAGTCAGTCGAATCCCCATCAAGACGTTGCAAGCGCAACGCGTTGATGGCGAAGGCCGCTGAGTCCGCAATATCTGCTGGTAGACCATCATTCTCAGCTAAACTTTGCAGAACAAGCAGCTCTGGTGTGGTTTCGCTCCGGAGATGGGGCAATGACTTGTAGCAGCATGGGCAAATGCCTCAACAAGGACAGTCAAGGGAACAACAGTTGACTCACTCGTTTCAACGTTCAAAGAGTATATCTGACTTCAACTCACCTGTTTGGACATGTTTGGACGGCCAAAAGATCCAAAAGGACTGCAGGCTGAGGTGCAAAAAGGCGCTTGGCGCCGCTGGCAAGCATCAAAGGCAAGGTCGCTTAAGCCACCGCAGGCGTGCAACGCTAGAATTGCAGCACTTGCGGTTGTTAAACGAAATGACTTCAGGGCCTTCCACAATCACTTCAGAATCTTTTGGGAATGTCGAGTTGTGATAGACAAGGTCCGGACCTTACTAAAAACAAGAAAAACGCTCTGCAAAACTCGCACAAAACGATCTGGAGCCATCCAAGGGTCCGTTGCACTTGACTCAAGGAAGCGAAGGTTCAGATCCAAATCCTTCGCCCGAGCTCGGCCATGCGCCACGCTTGGCCCGAAAGACTCCCAAACATGGACTTGGAGGCGTGGCAAGGCAGATGACACGGCCAAAGCCAGGTCACCACGACCTCCTCCCACGTCATGAACTTCCGTAATCTTCAAGCCGACAAGATGGGCTTCTTGGACTAAGTTCTTGAACAATTTGGTCATGAAGCGTACTTGGGGCCGCTTCTTCCTCACAGCAAAATCCAAAAGCCATCTCCGACTGCCCAGATTCGACGCAGGATCTGGGAGATCTTCAGTGTCCAATTGCAAGGCCTCTGCGGGCACCATTTCATTCACGAGCAAGTCTGACCAGCCATGGTACCTCAGCGAGAAAGCGATTCGATCGCTACAACTGCAGAATGCACAAGATGGGACAAACAGTGTGACAGGATGTGACAGGTAACTGAAACAAACCTTCGCAGAATTTCGCCTGCATTTTTTGTGTGATTCAAGATGCTTATCGAGCACTTTCCATTGCTCTGAGGATAGCCTGGCCGGACGGCGGCGCTGGACACGGTCCCGGCCACGGCGAAGCACGCGAGTGTGGCGCGAGCAGAACTGGAGCCGAGACCGCCCATCGGGCTCGTCTAAAACCTCCTCCAGCTCTTCCAGCGACACCTGGAGACTTTGAGCAAACTACTTCCAGTGTCCAAACCATTGAAAGCAAAAGAATCACTGTAATTAAGCCTGTAGCGATGGCCTCCAACCTAGCTACAAACTTAGCAACGGAAATGTCGTCCAAAATGAGTGTTCTCAGCACACCGACTGAAACACACCGACTTGTTCAATGTGTGCATCCTTTTATGGTGAGGACTTGACAGTGTCCGACCTGTAGCCACTGGTGCAACTCTGCAGAGCTCACAAGACCAGTTGAGCAGTGTGACAGCAATGAATGCAGCAAACTGGGCTGCACTAAGTGTGGAAGGAGTCCAACGACTTGAATTTCGGAAGCGAAAATCGAAGCGCGTCCCATTCGAGTCTTGCCAGGGAAACCCGCCAAGCGAAGCTTTACGCCCGCTTTCAGAAGATCTTCAGGAGCCAGCGTGTTGTCTACAACCACTTGCAAAGTTTGCATCTCTGCAGCTTCATCTGGCGCCTGGGTCTCCAGAAATGTTGTGCGACGATGTCTCCTCGCTGACAAAACTCCAGCCGTGCCTGTGACTGCAGTTGCCAAACCTCCGCTCCGTTGAACAAACCCGTTGGTTTCTGTAAAATCCAAAAACGGTTCAAGCTGTTGTTTCGGTTTTTTTTCTGTAAACCCAAAACCTCAAAGTGAGTTTTGGTTCAAGCAAAGTCAAGGCACGTGCGCCAAATGTCAGTCCCGCTGTCACTTCTGCGACGTCTTGCTGCAGATTCCAGGCACACGAAGTCACCCGCACAAGTCGTCGTGGCACTGGACATGAAGTCGAAGCCGCGAAGCCGCTGGCAGCATATGCAATGGCATGCGATCGCATGGCATATTGAGTTTCTGAGAGAGCAATGGCTTGCAAGCAGAGCATGAGCATGATCCCACCTTGATCCCCAAATAAGTTCGGAAGCGTTTTGTGGTGACTTCTTGTCGCTGATTCCTGGGTTCAGGGAACCAGTAGGTCCTCAAAAACCATTGGAACATAGTATTGGAACCCATGAAGTATCCACAAAGTATTGTCGCTTTCCACTTGCTCTTGAAAACGGACTCTTCTTTTGAAATGTCCAATTGTTCCAATGACATGTCCTACCAATTGTTCCAATCATCAGTCCGCTAAAAGATTTAGGAACCTGCGATAGATAGGCAAGTATCAGATCACACCTACAAACTGACTGTAACCAGAGATGAAAAAAGGTTGCGGGGTCCTTTAAAGAGGCCCGATTCAAGAGGCCTTTAAAGCCTTACCTGTTTTTTCCATTTTTGTTTCTCGTGACATGGTCACCGAATGTCACCCTTTCACCATCTTCACGAACACAGCGGCGGAGCGCAGTTTCGTCCTGCAAAAGCCAGGCTCCACCATAAAGGACGTTTGGCAGGACGTGGATGCCCATGCCTCCTTCCTCATTCACGTCCTGCGTTGACCATCAACCACAAGTCACAGGTCTTCACGTAAGACCTACTCTCCGATGCTGAACCCCTGCACAGTTGCTCACTGCATCTGAATGACTCAAACATGTCTATTTATGCACAAAGCCTCATGCGATGTGCCCGTCTAAGCTGAATGTCGACAAATCAATCTGAGCAAACTCCCAAATCTGAAAAATTAAATAGGTTTTTTGAGAAAACGCTGAGGCTTGTCGTCTCCATGAGTCTGTCCTTCGCAACGAGAATCTTTGGGGTTTCAAGCCTCGGCAATGGCTTTTCATGGTTTCCTTTGGTCCAAACCGATGGCAAATCTTCCCCAAATCTCTAGTGCATATTCTCGGTGAAGCTACTAGTAGCTCCTGACATTACTAGGAACAAGAAGCTAGGAACAAAGGGCATCGCTACTAGCAAGGACGCTACTAGTACTAGTAGCTAAGGGCAGCAAATCACTAGCTTTAGTGTCGGATTGAGAAGCATCCACCCTTGCACGGCCCGTTGAGACAGCGCATCGTTGGCACAGCGCATCGGTGCCATAGATCGCTACTAGGAGCGGCATCGCTACTAGGGGCTCCTGGCCATACTACTAGGAGCAAGAAGCTAGGAACAAGGGCATCGCTACTAGGAGCAAGGACGCTACTAGGGGCTCCTGGCATCGCTACTAGGAGCAAGGGCCTTACTACTAGGAACAAGAAGCTACTAGGAACATCCTTCACCGCAGGAACGTACAACTGGCCCCATCCGGCCCCATCCGGCCCCCGGACGCTGGAGTTGTTGGCAAGCCATTGTCCTTCAAGGCAATCTCTTGGTTTGAATACATAAATTCAAATGCAGTCGGTGCGTCTATGATGCTGTCGTTTGCCTTGCAAATTCATCTAAGCTCCTCTTTGACCCTGAAAAAGAATGTCATGCATACAGTTTCTTCAGGCATTCATTCGATGCATGGGCCCTTCCACAGCCTATGTGGAAGGGAAACAAAGGGTAACGGCAACATGTCTTAAGAACGAAGCAAACAAAGCAGCCTTCAAAATAAAGAATGAGACACCATGCATGAAACAACACACTTTTTTGGGGGTTCACTTGGTTTGTCTCCCATTCACTCGGTGGTCGTCAACTTCGAGAATCGACAGGCTCTCCAGACAGCCCTTGATGAAGTTCCACTTGCTCTCCATGTCAAAGTCTGGGCTCTTTGTGGCCAACGCTGTCCTTAGAGCTCCACACCAAGCCGCTTAGAGCTCCATGAGGGAAACTTGTTACTAGTAGCAAATTAGCTACTAATAGCGATGCTCTTCTTACTAGTAGCGATGCACCTTGTTACTAATAGCTTCTAGCTACTAGTAGCAATAGTGATGGCCTCCAACCTAGTTAGCGATGGCCTCCAACCTAATAGCGATTAGCGATGGCCTCCAACCTGGGCTGATCAGAGAGAGAGAGAGTCTAAGCAAAGTTCTGTGGCTGTGCCAACTTGATGGAACGCCAAGGGACATGGATGCTAAGCGACAGTTCAATCTCCAAAGCTGAAACCAATCTCGCGGTTCCAGGAGACTCCTGAAACGAAATCTATTCAAAGGAAGAACAAAAAAGAACAAATGCAAAAAAACACATCAAACGACTCAAAGGTGAACATCCAAATCAAGTCAGCTTCAACAGCCTGACAACAGAGCTAGCAAAATCAGCTCACAAGTGGCTACGTGCTCCAGGTTTCAATACATTTGAAGTTTCCTTGAAAATTTGCATGCATGATGAACATCCGTCAGTGCTTGCATGCGTCGAGAGAAAAGACACAAGAGGATTTCAAAGAACAGGAGAAAAGTCCCTTCATGTCCCTTTCTCAGAGTCTTTGTTCCTAGTAGCGTCCTTGCTCCTAGTAGTAAGGCCAGGAGCCCCTAGTAGAGTCCCTTCAGAGTTCCTCCGTCCTTCGAAAGCACGCATAGGCAAAGTCCAGGCCGAAGATCCTGCTTTGAGCGTCGTGAGTCAAGGGCTCACTGAGACCTTCCGGCCTTCTTGGTTGAAACCTTTGGAGCTTTAACCACAAAGGCTATGGTGACTACTGTATGACTTTCTAGTGGTTCCCTGTTTCTTTACATAGTTCAGACTACTTCCACGACAAAACCAACGGACCTTTAAGACGAGCTGCCTGTAAACAAATTGTGACAGGACCTCCTTTGCAGTTGCAATTGTTATGCTGTGTTGTTTGTGTATTGCCTGTGGGAACTCCATTTTGTGACCTCAAAGGCAGGCTTCACAAGATTCCCTGCAGTGGTATCATTCCCCTGTGAAACATCCCAAGGAGGAGAGCTTGGGTTTTGATGTGCTTCAAGCAGGGCGTCGAATTGTATGACGAAGAAGCATGAATTCTTTGTTTCTAATAGCGAGGGCCTCCACCCTAGAATCATAAATTTAGTCCAGGCTGTGCCGTATCGGCCATCATGCTCGGGTTTGGGGGCAACTGATCCTCGGTTGTGATCAGTCAAGGGTCAAGGATCAGGTGTGAAGTCACATCCTTTGGCGCCTTCGGGTTGAAATCATAATACTTGCTCCTAGTAGCGATGCCAGGAGCCCCTAATAGCTTCTTGTTACTAGTAGTTAATGCCAGGAGCCCCTAGTAGCGTCCTTGCTCCTAGTAGTAAGGCCAGGAGCCCCTAGTAAGAAATATACTTAGTTTTCTTGCAACATTTGAATCGCCCACACTGACCCCCCACCTCCGATACCATGAGCCCACAAACGCAGCAAAAGGAATCACAAAGAGGATTGCGACCTGAGCAGAGATAGCCGGTGTGATAACGCGTTGCATAATTATCTAGATCAAATTGACGCAAAGTTGCATCAAATTGATTTGTGATTCAGTGACATATGCTACTTGACGATTGACATTCTTCAGCAAATTGTCCAATGCGAAGACCTAAAGACTTTCTGACGAAACTACCCGAAGCCACAACTTATCAGGAAAGTCCGTTCAATGCAAAGCATAAGCACAAAACCTGGGTCGGCTGGCTTCCGTTTAGGACCTTTCCCTATGGACGACATGTCGAAAAAGTCGAACTGCACAGGATATGCGGCAAAGCTCTAAGTTCTAGACCAAAGCATGCAGGCGGCTGTAGGCCCAAAGAGAAAGAGGAACGCCATAGATGCCAGTTGGCCTCAAAGAAACTTGATAGAAATCGACCCAACCCAAGCAATCCAAGCTCCAACAACACAAAGCGATTCACCCTGCTCAGTTCTCCTTGCAGTCTGGATTTCAGAAGTCTGCACTTTCTCCCACTGAGCATCATACAAGACCACATTGCGCAAATTCGTCAGCATGTCCTCCTTGAAGGTGCCTGAAGCTTCATTGGAGGCATTTCTCGAACATCGACAACATCAACAACTGAACAAATTGTCGCAAAGAATCTCGATTTGATATTTGTGCAGTTTGGGAGATGTGAGACGTGTGGCCTGTGCGGTAGTGAGGCTTGGTCATAAGCCATGGCACCATGGCAAGGCTGTAAAGATGGCCACCTGGATCAATCACTGGGAACCGATGTGGCAAAACCCTCGCAGAACCCCGGCCGAGTACCACAAGAGTACCACAAGTTCTTGAGTACTTAAGTATTTTAAGAGATGGCCGGCCTCCAACCCAATAGCGACGGCCTCCAACCTAGAAGCGGGCTCTAGAAAAATAGAAGAATTTAAAATATGTCACCGGCTGTTATGTTCTCGTAGCTCACCATGCGGACCCAGAGGTGACAAATCTGATGCGGCCAAGTAGCTGCTCATGCCGCTCAAGCCGAATCGTGTCTTCGCATCGGCATAGCGGCCACCAAACCAGAAAAAAAACCTCAATCACCAGCACTGGCAGCACTGGCAGCACTTGCAGCACTCGCACTAGCTGTGGTAGCGTTTGGACTCGATTGTGCTGGCTGAGACATAGATGAATGGTAGACCGAATTGTGATTAAATCTATATATACCCAAATCTGCGATTTCCTGCATGCGTGAATCACCGAGGTTTGGCGACTGGCACCGGCGCCTACACACAACTTGCTCCAAGTGACAAAATGCGCCAGTAGAGCAGCAAAGGTGACAGCATGGGGAAGACCATTAGCCCCAGTACCAAAAGAACTGCCAACATCGCCAGCAGCCCTGGAAGGCAAGGATGAGGGGCGCTTGCCGCAAAGGAAAAGTCTGTTGTTCAGATCGTCAAACATCAAAGCCTCTTTGTGTCAAGTACCCAATGCTAGACGTGAGGACTCGTGAGGACATAGGGAATTTGTTTGCGAATTCGTACGAAACTGGAAATTCACATTCGGAGTTTGGTTTTGGACTCTCCAGGTAATGATACCCAAACAATTTAACAGCTTTGCCGCTCAAGCAGCCTCGCCTCCACTGACATCATCTGGCAACCTGCCATGATTGCAAATCCCACATGGACTGACCCTCAAAGGTGCTCGTACATCGATGGCATCATTTTGCAATACGCACTCAACGATCAAAGTCAATCAGGTCCTGCACGTTTGCAGGACGTTTAAAGGTTCCAGTGTATTGGCCGCAACCCTTGTTTGTTTCACTTTCACTATGTTTCAACTGATAGCACACAAACCTGGCTTGTGCTGTTGGCAAAGACTGGTGGCTGGACACAACGGCAAGCACCAGAAGCAAAGCCTAAGCGAAACACCACGCATCCCGAAAATGAATGTGACCTAGTATACTGGGTTCGAAGGATCCCAAGGCCATCATACAAAAAAGGGCAACCTTTACAAGGGTCGGGGTTGGAAGTTCCACACCAAGGTCCGCAAATAATGATTTTTGGTGTTCTTTACAAGGACACAGCCAGTTACCGAATCAAAGTTGAAAATACTTAGCACACGGCGCGAGCAACACCGCTGTGCCGCACCATGGCTCGAGATTTTTGCTGCAAAAGCATCGTTTTTATTCTATCTTATTCTGGCATGTTCTGGCAGAATGTATTTTTGCCTTTTGCCCGCCATGTCAGCGCGTGACTTTGGTAACCTTCTGCAGGCCAGAGGCCCTTCAGGACGCTAGACACAAAAAAATTTCCAACTCTGAATCAAAGCAAACTCACCTTCATAGCAGACCTAGCCAGCTGCAACATATTGAGCAGTCACTACGGCCAGCACCAGCCACGGGGTTTGGCCAAAGGGACGTATATATGGCAATTCAGGGTGGGGCTGGCAAGTCGTCCTAACCAATGGCTCCCCATCCTCCGCCTACAGGTTTGAGGGCACTTCGGCGCTTCACACGGTCCAATACTAACAGCGGTCACGCAGAATCCGATGGGACTTTGGGTGGATTTGGGGACCATCATGTTTAAACTACGCTGGCGGTTTGAGATCTTCCTCAGCGCCTCCACAGCGCTGTCCTGCAGCCGCCTCTCCAGCGACTCAAGCTCTGTGGCATCAACACCTTCTTGCGCAGCCACTTCAAGCTCGGCTGCAAGCCCCTTGGCTTGGGAACCTGCATTCCTTCCCCTCCCATCCAGCGGCGCTTACAAATAGGCTGCCTCCTGCCTTTGCCAGCACCTGGATAGGGTAAAGGTCGCTTCCAGGTGGAGAGTGAAGAGTTCAGCCTTCAGCTCTCATCTCTGCAGCCAAAGTCCAGTAACGTGACCACAGCCTAGTTTGGACCGCCCTGAGCATCACACAAAAAACGCTCCCTCAACTCGCCCTTCTTGTCGAGACTGCGCGGAGTAGTCAGCCTCCAGCAACACCAGCCTGTCGCCGTCGGGGCTGTCAAGGTCTTCAACTGTCTCTTCTCCCTGCCCGTCCCGAACAGGAGTGGAGGCATCAAAGTCAAAGCCTGTGGATCACTCCAGCCTCCTGCATAGCCCATGGCCTTTCTCATCGTACGTAGCCAAAGATCTGTGCACGAGCTTGTTCTGCAGTTCTGCGCGTCGCTGGCGTCGTTCTGGAGTTTTGTCCTCAGCGCCGTGGGAGGCTTCGCGACAGGGTAGTCGGCAACAAAAGCCAGGTGCCACTGGCGTCTGCTTCAGGGCCAAGTTAACCAAGAAGAAAGCCATAGGTCTCGACAGGGAGCGCTCTGCAAAAGAGCGACGCTCAAGCAAAGGCTTACAGGGAGCCAACCAGCTTCGCGGCACCACTAAGCAAAGAGATTTGCAAACCAAGGAAACAGCAAAGATCAATGGCAGCGCGGCCACTAAGCTTCAGCTTTTCTTACGCCAGAAAGTTCAAGGCCTTTTTCAGCCTGGTTATGTTTCATGAACACACATGCCTGAAATCAAGAAGGTTGGGTTTCGACAGGGTCTAGTGCGCCACTCAAATCGTGTTCGATGACCCCGTCTGATGCAGTGCATGATCAAACACTAAGGCAAGGAAATCCTCAAAGCTGGTGCAGCTTCCGCAAAAAGGCAACAAATACCAAGAGCCTTTTGTAAAATCAGGATTCCGTGGCATTCCGTGGCACCGTGGGGTCGATATTGGGATAAAACCAGGGTAATTGACATGCCTGATCGATCTTCTGACTGCAGTTTTTTGCCTCTCGGCAGGTGTTTTGCTGATATTCAGCTGTTGTTGGCTCGCGCAGAGTTTCACGCGGGTCGGAATATGTCGACTACTACAAGATCTGGTCGAAGAGACGCAGTTCCGGACAACACCTTTCAGCTCCTGGGAGCTAAATAGGTTGGAGGCCATCGCTACTAGGTTGAGGAAAGACATCCTTGACAGCGAACTTACAGCGAACTCATCTCTTCTGTCGAATTTACATAGCCGTTGGCTGTACTGGCCGGCTCGTGATGCATCTTGGATGCATTTTAAAAACACCGGCTCAGGGGAAGAATCATTCATGATGGGGAATTGCGTTGAAACACCAACAGGACGCATCATATTGAACTGCTTGAAAGGTGGCCAGCAGTAGCTTGTCAAAACCAGTCGTTCTGCGACCCCCCTTCAAGTCATCCTGACGGATTGCAGTGAGGATGACTCATGCCCTCTAACTCTGTTTGAAAGAACATGTTTGAAGCAATTAGGTTTGTGGCCTTCGCTGGTAGGTTGGAGGCCATCGCTAGTACTTGACACTTGCATCACCTGCTCTTTTTAACAACACTAAGCGTGTAACCTCAAATCGGGCTTCCCAAACACCTGAATGCCTTTTGGATCCTTCTTGGATGCAAAGAGCTCTCAATCCATAAGCTTTAGAAAGCCCCTAGCCTAGCACCCTTACAAGATTTACAAGCAAGAACAATCTGAATAAGAAGTACCAAAAAAGGAATTCGTTGTTGTTTCCTGTACACGAAGCATACAAAGCCAGAGTTCAGGACATGCAATCTGAAGCCAAAGGGCTTCTGGCTTCCGGTTCCCCTTCTTTGAACCACAGCTTTTGCTGGATTGAATTGGGAACAATTCAAACAATACCGTAGCACTGGCATCTTAGGCCGTGCCTCTCGTAGTCTTGGTGTGCTGCTGGTTCTGTTTATCAGCAATTGTTTTGAGTTGTTCCTCTGCTGCTCCGCAAGGAGATCTAAAGCCTGCTTCCAAGAACATCCTCAAAACATCTCAAACCAATCTCACAAAAGGATGCATGAGGATGCTAGATATGCTAGATATGCTAGTGTCTCTGTCTTGGCCCGGGTCGAAGCATCTCAGTCCAGCAGCAGGCTGCGGATTTCACGGCCCGTTACTCTTTGTGGCGGTGGTGTCGATTTGCTGCAAGCGGGGCCAAGAGCTCAGTTCGAAGCACCAAAAGCGAATCAACCTACTAGAGATGGCCTCCACCCTAGTAGTGATGGCCTCCAACCTACGTACTAGCGATGGCCTCCAACCTAAAATACCCTAAGCATCTTCACTAAACTTGTGAAGCTTTGCATGTTTTACAAGTTACGCTTCTATTTGATTTTACAAGCTTTAAACCTCGAAAGAGAACAGGTTCCCACAATCGGCCTCAGGGTGCGCAAATGTCGCCCTAAGCGTTCCTCCAGGAATGTGGCCCAGGCAGCTGCCTTCGCTCTCAAACACGCCAGGAGCCCCTAGTAGCGTCCTTGCTCCTAGTAGCGATGCCAGGA